TATTCTTTGTTTAGATTTGATGTCTCTTTCTACCTAAAAACTTGTTTTTCTATTGTCGACACCAATAACCTCCTCGTAGGACAAGAAATATTGTTAGCTTTTGAATTTGCCTAGCATAATGCAATATATACGAGGCAGATTTATTCTTAAGCAACTGAAAATATGTCAATATCTCTGCCACGCATGTCCACGAAAAGTTATTTTTAAAAAAAGCTATGTTTCATGTAAGACGTGCAAGTAATGACAATAAAATGGTGAGAAAATGATTCTTCATCAAGATGGTATTCTGATTTCAAAATGTTGTCTCCTATTATATGTTCTGACGGAACATTATCTGAAAATCCCAGCTTTTACCTTTATGTTTGGCCTCGGGTCTATCGCGAATGAAACATGCAAATCAAAGAGGGGGAAAAAAATATAGATCACACACAATATATATGTAATATGCCATCCATGGACATTTCTTGAAAGAGCCTTGAAACAAAGAGACAAGCTATGAATGTAAATTTCATTTGTATCACTTCAGGCCAGTGAATCACAACAGAACCAGGGAATGCATTGAAGCAAACCTTCGTCATGTCAGAGAATTAGAATTTAAAATAAAAAAATAAAGAGCCTGATTTCCGGGATCTAGTAAGCGATTTTTGAAGAACATTTTCCAATAAGGGAACATTAAGAAACTAACAACCACTTTAAATTTAAATAAAACAGAACGCCAGAATTTCCGCAAAATTTTGTGGAATCAATCATGAACTATTAGGATGGTTTCCCCTTGATCCCCTGGTCAATGGTCCTCCACAGATTCATCTCTGTAGATATCGGAAAACCCCCCACACTTAATTTTTTTTTCCTATAATCTCTCTATTAATATTAGTTTATGTTGCTAAATCATAAAATCTGCTATATATATCTCAACGAAATTGAGAAACCAACAAGAAATAGATACAATCATTCGACACTCCAGTAAGCCTACCCTGCTGAATAGCTTGCCTAGGAAGGCTTCGTTTTGACTCTCGACCTTCGCATCCGCATCGTTTTTCCTACAATATTTGCCGCCTTAATTACCGGTACGTCAATGGGTACCTACAATATAATTATTTGCAACGCACGTGGCGGTTTAGCCCAGGTGGAATCAACCTAGCAGTTAAATGTAAGTGTTAAACTCACTGACGGTTTCGGCCACGTGGAGGAATGCTAATGGTTCTAACCTCAGAGGCCATGTTAGATGGTTCATTGACCTCCCTGATGAGCAAGATATTCGGAAATGGGGACTGGGGAGTAACTGTGGATCATCACATATTACCTTGTCAATCTACCGCCTCAACGAACGTATTAGCTAGGCCATCAAAGTGCATGTGTTTTTCAACATGGATCAACTAACGACGTCGTTGCCATATCACGACTATCGAACACCCTTAATTTATAACCAAACACATTATCGGGACCCTCTTCCCGGAGATTTGTGTTCCAAACCCAGTGCCGGAGAAACAAGCCTAATGGAAAAGGCAAACAGCTAAAGTGATGGCGACAGACAGTGGGCTCCACACCTGACAGGGCATCAGCTCCTGCCAGATGTTGGGGCCCACCAAATATCTATCATTTTCACGGCATATTAATGGTTATTGACCCATGAGATCGGAGGTTGGAACTCCCGTACCCGATCCATTCCACTCATTTCTTTTGCACCGAAGAAAACTCCGATGGAAGGATTGAGTTCAAAAAAATTTACAAACGAACGATAAAGATGCAATTATTTCAGCAAAGTGATGTGCTAATGTGCGCACCTGACTGCTGGTTCGTGGAAGCGCTTGTTGGGCTGTCGTTGTCGGACCACGTGCAAATCACCCCCGGGGCAGAACTCGGTTAAGAGGCAGATCCATTTGGGCGCGTCTATAGTCTCGTAGAGAGTGGGCAGAAACGGGTGGTCCAACAATTCGAGAATTTCCCGTTCTGTCCTTGCCCTCCCTTCCTTGCTCCGACTCGCGAGCTCTTTCTTGTCCATCACTTTAGCCGCGAACAGCAGGCAACTCTCCTCGCCATTGCCGGTGTGTTTGAGCTCTGCAAGGTATACAGAGCCTATGTCGCCGGAACCGAGCCGCTGACTGAACCGGAGGTCCGAGGGGGCTATGCGGTGGCTCGGAGACTCTGATCTGATCCGGTAGATGGCAGCCCAACAAGGGTCCGAAGATGGCGCGTGGGGTTTAGTAGTGGTTGCGAGTGGCAGTGGACCCAGGCGGGCAGAGGTCGAGTTAGTTAAGGTTGTTGATTCGGAGCCTGAGCTTGTACTCCGTTTGATATCGGTGGCGGTGGTGGTGGAGGCGAAGCTTATGCTCTGGAGGTCGTCGGCTAGATCCTCGAGCCATGCCTCCATTGGGTATGTCCGGAAGGGGTGAAGAGAGAGGAGAGAGATAGGGGATGGGGGGCTTGGTTGATGAACTCTGAAGTGACTTGAAGCTCGGCAGGTTGAGCATTTTTTTATTTTGAAGGGCGAGAAGCCTGAAAACGTGGCATCCGTTTATGTGGGAAACACAACGGTGTAAAAATAAATAATGACGTGTGGGCTGAAAAAATGGGATCGGGCTACATTTTGGGAGATGTTTTTTTTTTTTTTTCAAAAGCATTTTGGGAGGATTTTACGTCATCGTACCTTTCGGACCGCATTATGTGTCGTCAAAAAAGAAAAAAAATCTGAAATGCAGTAGTGTTTGAAATGTAAAGCGTTATTTCCCTGATAGATAAGACAGTTTATTGCCACAACTGAACCTGGTAAACAGTTCACGCGGCTGACCCGAGTAATAGAGTGTATTTTAGACGATTTTGCTAAAAAAATAAAAAAAAAAGAGAGAGAGGGAGAGAGAGTGTATTTTAGACGAGAAGAAAATACGAATAAGATGGTGCCCGATTCATATTACTCCTTCCGTTTTTCATTGTTAAAAAAATTATTATTATTTATTTATTTTCTTATAAGCAAAATTACTTATTCTAACAAACATTTATTACACATTTTTTAAAGTCATTTTTCATAATTTACATTAACCATAAACAATTAATGAATATTTATATTAATTAATACATGTCATTTCAATTTACTTTTTTATTTTTAAATATAATAATTATAATTAATTGACTTTCTGTGATATAATTTTTTTTATATATAAAAATAGAGGGAGTACTTTAGTTTTGAATTTGCACTCACCGGAAGGGATACGTCCCTGTGATGATGCATATCTATATTAAATTCATGATAACTAATAACTAAGGCACTGCTATTTAGAAACTTATAGCGTTTATTCTGGTCATCGCAGAAAGGTTTGCCATGAAACAAAACACAACGTGTAATTTTGCACGATTTAACAGCAACGCCAGCAATGGTGAACTATTAAATCCCACCACCACTCGATGCTTTTATCAACTAAGTGGACCAAATCCAGACCACCACCCTAATTTGTTCTGGTTCGTTTAGAAGTATATGTCCTTGCTGTAATATTTGACATGAAAAAGAAAACAGGGAGAAGCAGCCAGTTGTCTCATGAATGCGCATCGCTTGTTTTGTTCGCATGTCTTAAATGCCAACTCCCCTGATGATTGAAAATTAAAGAGTATGCGAACCATCACCGTCCGTTAAAACAGGCAAACTGGCAAAGGCTGTGATGTAGGCAGTCCATGTATTGCTATCCACTTACACAAGTAACTCCCCTTACTATGATAAAACTGCGGATTATAAATATATCTCTCACATGATAGGATGCAGCGCATGACACTGTCGGCAATTCTAACCACTTGAGGCAAAACTCTAGAGCGTGGTCTCAGCTTTCCATCCCTGATCAAATGTTTGGAGTCTAAAGATGGTCGTCATAGAGTGATAGAAGCGCGGTGGTGAACAAGTTTCAAGACATGATAAGCATGTGCATGAGTGAGGAGAGACCCCGTGCAGGCCGCGAGCAATATATTGACTGTTTGAAGCTGAGGGTCTCTCGTGCCTTGAGGGAACCAGCACTGACTGGTTCGCTTCCCATAGCAACAATTACCAGAACCCGATCTTGAGCAGAGAACAATGCTGGATCTTTTTCACTCGGATTCAGCCTCAAGTACTTGGGTTAATTACACTGGAATTCCTCTCACCTAGCAGACCCAGCTGACCTGGTATTGGGCTCGTCTTCAGCCCATTATTCACATAGCAGTCTTTTGTACTTTTTGGTTTGCTGGGCAGCCCAAAAACCAAAAATGAAGAAAATCATTTTACAGACCTTATTAAGTCTTCAGATTTTTTTGGGGGCCGGTACAAGCTCATGGTGAGGATTTATATACAGTTATGGAATTAACAATATTTATATCCAGCTGTGGAATTAACAATGTACAGTGATAATAAGGTCAAAAATTTAATGGCTGAGACCTTATCTATTTTTCTAGCTGGAAAAATTATCCTCCTTTAATTCAAAATATAAACATTTTCTCCTAACTAATTTAGGTTCAAAATATAAGCAATCTATCTTTTTTTTCATGTTACCATTTTTATTTATTAACCTAGATTGTTGTATAAATTTATCTTTTACTCATTATGAAATACATTGAAAATTAGAGTCAGGAGTAAATATATATATATATATATATTTTTATGGGAATGAAAACTTTATTAATATATATGAATTTGTTCTAATTTTTTATGGTCTGGACTAAAGGGATTTTCTACTAGTCAATAATTTTTATTTGAAGAACAGGTAGTAAGCACTAAGCAGTAATCGCAATTCACACATAAAAATTGGATCAACTTTTACTAAATTGTTTAATTAAATAGTTAAATTAATGTAATTTATAACCATAAAATTTATAAATTATAAACCAATTTGTTTAATTAAAATTAATTAATAAAAAGAAGAGAAAGAGCAGCATGTGCCTCTGAACGCAATCCAAACGCCAGCATTGATCTGGATTAACGATAACGATGGGCCCCAAGAGTCAAGGGAATGGATCTCGGATGCTCGCTGGCAAGGGTGGGTCGGGCATGATCCGGGTCGTGAGAATCACACCAAAGCAGGCTAGAATTGTCGGGAGATCCTAATCCTTCATCGGACAACCCTAGAATACTAGAACGCTCTGATTTCATCCTGCTACAATCAAAGGCTCTTTGGTTTTCTCGAGACCTTCGGCTTCATTCAGAGTATGCACCCTCCTATCCTCATTACCACGGTGCTTGAGTTTAACCAAGTGCTTTTACAGATCTCATTTCTGCTATAAAATTATCGATACTTTTTGGCCGTATTTCTCTAGGGTTAGTTGCTTTCATTTGATTTATTTTGACGGTACTTTGGAGATTTGCGCAGCTAAAGAATCGAATACTCATTTCAATATGGTTCTAATATGGCTGAGTATTATCTACTGGTTCTTGGGCTTTTAATCGAGCATCGTTTAGTTTGACTAATTCTTTATATGATGATGTTCTTTACCCCCTTTTCAATTTGATCATTCTTTGCACATCTGGGTATTTCATACTTATTTCTCCTGCCAGAGCCCTGTTGCAGCCGGACCTTGGAACCTTGAATTATGGGTAGCCTTGCCCTATTCTTGTTGCGCTCATAAATTTCTACTTATCTTATATAATTATGCTTCTTGTTTGTTCTGAGGTATATTCATGGACCGACATCTATAAACTATGAAGTCAGGTGTAATTGTCTGCATTGGTTTATTGTATGTAAAAGGACATTGGAGCTCGTAGAATAAATATGGAGTTCATAGTCCTGCTTGTTCTCTTCTTACATTGATCATTGTCCTTTTTGATAAATAGTTTGTCATTAACACCAGATATGATTTAAAGGATACATGTGAATGAACTTAAAATGCATTTTTTATTTTTCTTCCTGAAAGGGGCTGTCGATACGCGTGCAGCAACGTAGTTATGAATTATGCACATTAAATTAACTGTTCAAGGAGTACTAATCTCCTTGAGTCTGGGCCCTGGGCGGGCGTGGTACTGGTATCTCTTGAATGAAACATCCTGCTAGGGTAGGAAACCTGTGTTCGTTTTGTTAAAGGTATTTTGTTTTTTCGAGTAACTATTTTGTTAGGTACCTGAATGGTAGCGGCCTGAAGCGCTATATGTGTAAATCTTTTGCAATATGTTGTTATTAATTATCTTTTTTTTTTCTTTGGGGTGGGGTGTTGGGGTGTCAAACAATATCATATCAGGTTGAACAGCATTTATGTTGAAATTCTGGATCAGTGTGTAAATTATTACTTTGGTGGCTTTCTGATAGTCTGAAATTATGAACCATATGATAATTACTCATTTCTGGCTGCATTTGGCAGTTCATATATTTCTTTGATTTGTTGTGTCTGTTAGAGAGCCAAGAAAGCTAGGCATGATACAAAATTTGCTTGTTCTATGCGTTTATTCTCCTTCCCCCCTCCCCTGTTCTTCGTGGAATGTGGAAAGCATTTTTGAGGTACCATTATGCTATTGTTGTGCAGGATGACGGAACCACCCTTCAGACCACGGGAGCATCTTCTTGAGAAGCAAAGATATTATCAGAGCATACATAAGCACACTTATTTGAAAGGGCCATATGACAGGATCACCTCTGTGGCAATACCACTCGCATTGGCAGGAGCTTCAATCTATATGATTGTAAGTTTATAATTAGAATTTGACGCATGACCTCAATTGTCCTTGTCGAATATTGTTGTTATAAAAATTTTAGTTGATTTTCTCGAAATATAACTTTTTTTTTTTTGTGACTTTTATTCAGGGACGAGGTATTTACAATATGTCGCTTGGAATAGGAAAGAAAGAATGAATGACTTGGGAATTTCTGTTGAGTGCGAGGCCTATTTCCTCAGATGAGACCTGTTTTTCTTTGCACACTTGTGCGGTGGCGTAATAAATTTGCCTTGTTGCTGACTTTGATCACTAATGGAAGTGTAAAACTTAAATGGATCTGTTTTTTTTTTTTTTTGTTTATTCGATGTTAATCAATAGACGGTTTAAATTGTGCAAGAAAATTTAATATTATCATGCTATTCGTCCTTGGCATTCATAGATCGAGCTAGTGATTTTATTTCTTGATGGAGTCATGCCGACATTCGTAGCAACTATTTTTGATGCTGAACTGCATTTGTTTGTTTCAAAGCTCCTGGGGGCATCAGGAGCAAATACGCGAGCCCCTACCTCGTGTTCTGACAGCAGGTTCTCAAGCTAAAAGAACGCAATTAACTGTTGACAATTTGGTTGTACTTTGAAAGCTCTGGCAAAGAAGAAATGCAGGCCTAGAAAGATTATTCTGTGACTAGATTAGTCCTAAAAGAAAAGGGTCCCCTTATGTTTGTAAGTATGATTTTTAATGAAACATCTTCAAGCATCGAGTAACTGATAAAGGAATTAATTACGGATAAATTATTTTTCTTTTGATGATGAACAGTTACTTTCCATCTTAATTTTGATGGGATCAATTATGGCTTTTGTAACCTGTCTCTCAGGTTCATTTTTTGGTTTACTGTTTTTACATTTACCCAGCAGGCACTTACGTGAATTCATCTCTACGAGTTGCAATTCTCCTGCACATTTGTATCCTTATGATTAATTATTATAAAGAAGACCAGGCCAACTAAAATCTCCCACGAGAGCTTTAATTGTAGACATAGTTCTAAAATGGCAATAGGAAGCATGACTCCCTTCTTTCTTATTTTCATCCCCTTTATTGCTCTTGATCTTTCTCTCTCCTGTTTTACATGCATTCTTTCAACTTTTCATGGCATTTCAGAAATTAGAAAATTTTGATTTAGCGTAGAAAGATCTCTTAACTTCCACTGCTGCTAAGAAAATGAGAAATGTCACGCAGAGTAGGTTCAAGGAGATGCAAAGGTAAAAGAAAGTAAAGGGAAGAGGAGGAATTGATTGGTTGGGAATCATATAATTAATAATGCTGTCTTTGGTACGAAGTGGGAATTGGAAAGAAAATGAGAATGGGAAAAAGCATGGAAAATAGACTATTTAAAACCTATTCTCCTAACTATGATTAGAAGGTGTGTCATTAATTATTAGCATGCCAACATAGTCTAACATTCCCTTTCTAAAATGGACTAATTTGTATGCCAAATGTATAGGGCTTTTTTATCTTCTTCCTAATACCACGTTGGTATTATGTTTGCAAATAACAAGTAAGGCTGCAATATAGTTTTGAAACATGTGAGTTGGGCATTGAGTGTCTCCGTTAAGTTGTGAAGGAAGTGACTTTGGTATGAAGCCAAGTTCAATCTCGCTATAAGTCAAGGCGTGTCTGTGGCTTCGCTAAATATGTGCTAACCTGACCTATGAACCATTTAAGAGAGGAAAGAATACTTCAAGGACCAAACTGCTACAATTATAATGTCGTCCTTTCAAATTGAAACTGCTTTTAATACACTTATAGTGGTCCCAAGCAAATCTCGAATGATAGAATTGTAAAGGAATTCATTACACAAAGATTTACATACAGTTTCTATTTTATTCTAATGACAAATTTTTACTAGTGACTGTTTCTTTTCAGTATTTTTGAAATCAGGAATATAAAAGGCATATTAAAATTTTATTATCGCTTTCACTCTTCCAAATAGATAGAGTAGCATTTATCCAGGGTGCTTTCTTGAAGCACAAGCTTGCAACAGATCAACAGAGTTAAACGATTGTTTGAAGATTTAAACTTTTGAATGAAGTTGCTTGTGACGACAGACCATAGCAATGGAATCAAATGCACATGCTTGCTGCTGAAAAAGAGGAATGCAAGTTGGGAATGGCATGAAGAAGGTAGCAGAAAGAATCCTACAAGCTGAGGACAACAGAACCGCATGAAGCAACTATGAGAGCCGGGATTTCTGGGGAGCAATGAAGTCCTCGCTGTCTGTGTTTGATCAATTTCGCTTCATTACTTTATTGTATCCAAACATGGTCTCCAATTAGTCATCGCCACACTAGACCTTTTCAAGAATGTCAGATCCTTGATCCACCTTTCCCCACCAACTTTAAATGAGGTTGTCTTTCATTTAAATACAGGGAAAAAGTACTTTATTTCTGTCATTCTGATAAATTGCTATTTGCGAGACGGCATGAATGGAGAAAGAGTCCTGCTATGTTTGACCAGCAGTGTAGATTATTTATTGGTGTGAAAGTTGGGATTATGAATCTCTTCTCTAAAAATATTTGTGCTGGAGGAAGAAGAGAGATTTTTTTTTTTTTTAATTTGGATTCAGTGTATCAAATCCTTTCACTCATCTCATGTGATGCTATAGAGATATCATCGATTCAATTAAACAACTGCCCGAGATATTGACATAAAATATATAGAGAACACCAAATCACAATTTTACCTTTTGTTGTGCTCTATCCTTGCTAAAGAGAAATAGATGGAATGTATCGTCATAAAATCGCTCTTTAACTCATTGCTTCATGTATTTCTAATCAAATATATTTTTTTAATGTAATTCTTGGAAAGTAAAAAAATACTTTTTTATAAAAGAAATAAGAAATGCACTTATTCTATTTCCTTTTTAAGTAAATTTTTCATGCATTTACCTGATGTCAGCTTAAGCGTTGATAAAATCCTACGACTATAATATAAACACTCACTGGATGAGAAGATTCAAAATAGTCATAGCTTAAATTTGACTTTTTTTTTTTTGGAATTTCTACGGGAAAAAACATGAGTTAAAGAATCCTTCTCTTATACTCATATTATACTTTTGCACGAAAAAAGCCGAATATAATTTGGAAAGGGAAGCACCTCGTTCGCTCAGCGGTCAATTCAAAAATTATCTTCTACGGTGAATTCCAAGTCACCGTTTGGTGTTATGGAAGCCAACTACAGAGGGCCCAACAAAAAAGGATAGGAGCTTGTATTTAAAGTTTAAAGTTTAAACACAAGGATTTGACTAATTTTTCAGATATCTATCACAAGGGCACGAGTATTGGAAATTAAGGTTCGAACCCATCAAAACTTTTAGTAGTCAGAACCCAAAAAAAAAAAAAAGGAATCATAAGGTACGAGCATGCCATAGCAAACAAATAGACAAATTATTTTAAAAGATATATAAAAAAATGTGTCGTATATATCCAAAGCTCCATCCCGTCAAAACTTTTAGGTAGTCAAATTCATAAAATAAAGATGACGAGGCGGCTAAGGGAAAAACTCTTTTTTTTTTTTTTTGAAATTTGACCTGTCTGTAATAATAATTGCCATATAAGATATTTGATTGAGAGATAAGTGTGGATATACACTCAACCCTAATAAAATAAATTATAAGGAAAAGAAGTCTCCCATGAGATATGGGAAGAGCGTGTTTGTTTTGTTGGTGTTAACGAATTTTAATATGCTCAGGTGAAGCAAGTGTAGCTAGATGGATGTGCTCAAATGTAGGTCTGAGTTTTGAAGTATAAAACCAAACGGCCAGTTAAGCAAACAGGGCACAAGCAAATCTAAGAGACGACGCAGGTGGAATTTGAGAAGGCAAGGAGGCAGCAGGTACAGGGAGTCAATGGAGCAAAAGACAAGCAGCCGAACAAGACTGGAATATGCAAGGCAAGAATCTGGGAAACAAGAAACCCCAAAAAAAAAAAAAAAAACCAAAATGGGAGAGGCGTCATTGCGGACGTCAAATTAATTTGGGAGGAGGTCATTACTGAATTGTTTATTCAATTAGTCAATCGTCAATGCCCCCATCCTTTGTTCAATGGACTGACCATTCAACCAACTTTCTAGATTTTAATAATTATAAGGCCATCATTTATTTATTTTCTCTCCTCCTCCCAATTTCTCTCTTAAGTCTTGAGTGCGCAGACTGTGTAATTGGAAACGTGACAACCTTTGATCTATCAGAAAATCCGGAGAAGCGGTGAACCACGTCAGCTAGAAAGGGGAAAAAAGTTTACCGATCTTGTTTTGCCACCAAAAATTATTTTACCATATTCCTTCTGTATTAAAATATAAAATACTTTTTAAAATATAAAATTTTTAAATAAAATTTTACATATCAATTTTATTAAATACACCTAACAATTTTATTTTTTTAAAATAAAAATATAAAATTTTAAAATGTTTTTATCTAATATATGAAAAAGAGAAGGGATGAAAATTAATTATAGAGAGAGAAAGCATAATATTAAAATTAATATATTTAATAAAACTTTAATTCATCTAAAATATTTTATATTTTGAGACAGAGAAAATACTTTTAAAAAAAAATTTAACTTTTTCCAAAAATAAAATACTTTAATAAAAATAAAATTTTATTAAGGGTACTTTTTTAATATGAGCCTTCACATTGTATTCTCTCTATTTAATATTTTAATAAATAAAATATTAAATAAAAAGCATTTTTTGAAATATATATTTTTTAAAAAATAAAATTATAAAGTATATTTAATAAATTTTATTAGTTTATGTAATTTTGTACATCTTATGATTTGAAATGAGGAGAGTATTCATAATTAATACAACAATTCAAAGCAGGCTTAGAATTTTTTTATACAAGATAGTAGAAATGTATGAGTGCAAGTGAGAAAAAAATACACAAATATTATTAAGTTATTTTTTTAATGCATCTGTGACTAAACATTTAGAAGTCAAAGATATTAATTGTTATGTTTTAAATATAAAGTTTAACAATTTGATCACAAATGCATCGAAAAAATAGTTTTATGAGCAACGTTACACTTTTTTTCACTTTAAATTATTATATATTCTTGATTGATGAATTGTTGAATATTTTTGTCCCTTCGTGTAAAATAGAATTTTTGAAGATGAGAAATGCTTTATCTCTTGTTTCTATCTTTGAAAAATACCAATAAAAAATAAAACAAACACTAAAAACTTTATAAACATTATGAAACTAAATTATTTGAAAACGTACATTACACCATCTGTTCAGTATTCTAAGATATTTTTATTGGAATTGCACTCTTAATGAATTAATTAATTATCTTTAAAATTATACATTCTTTTTATATTTTATTCATTTAATAAGCTTACTTTAATTAAAAAACTTTACTAATGCAGCTCCTAATTAAAGATAATCTTAAAAAATTGATTATACATCAAAAAGACTAAAAAAAACTATATATTCATTAAAAGTTAAACCTTCTCAGCCTAGTGTTTTTGAAATGCATTGCACTTCCGGGCAATTTAGGTCTCAATTCGTCACGAGGGAGGAATCTTTGTGATGCTTCGTGAATCTTTTGATACAAACATATTGTCAAGCAAGTGTAGCATGTATATTTAACAAACGTTTGATTAAGCGAATTAAAATAGTTATATTTTAAATAAATAAATAAAAATTTATCCGAGACAATGAAGTAACATATAGATCCGCTGTATACCACGATGGGTGCATGTTTTAATAGGATATCCCCAGTGCTGGGGGCAATGACGCGTCAAGTACAAGTTCCATGTTCTTAAACTAGCTGAATGAACCGGACCGGACTCGCTGATCAACCAAGAATCAAACTTAGGTCCGGTCTGGTCATGAGAGAAAGTTAGCTAATTATATAATTGACCAAAAACTGCCAGAACCAACATCGAGTCAGTCAAAATCAATTGGACCGGTTAAATCAGTCACAACCTTTTTATTTTTTTTTCCACTTGTTTTAAAATTTTGATCCATATCATTTAATTTTACACTACAATTTACAAATAATCATGCGTAATATAATAAACATTGAGAAATGAACAAAATAACAAATGTGTAATATATATTATTATAGATAAATATTTATATGTAATTTAAATGTATGAATTTATTTATAATTGGTTCCATCACAAGGAACCATATCAATGTCTTAATTGCTTGAATGGCATGGTACTTGTTTGGATCACCCATAAGAATTAATTATTTGTACAGAAACCACGTTTTGGTAAAAGACAATCAAACACTTTCACTTTTATATAATTGGATTATGTTATCCCAGACTACATTTCAGTGAAGCTACCCTCACCGACTTCTCAATTTTAATTATACTTTTACAGCAGTCATTACTCGTCAGAATTTTGAGTCTACCAAGTACACTCCTAATTTGGGTGTGAACGTGTGAACAAAAGCGTCAAGCGTGAACCATGAATAAACTTAAAAAACTGTTACACATTGATAAAAATATTATTAAATATTAATATTATAATAAATTTAATTTAAAATTTATATTGTCTATCAATGTATATGTGTTAAATAATTTTTTAAAATATTAAATGCATCACTATTATATTTTTTATTAAACAAATCAAAACAAATTTAATAATGTCATATGCAATTTTGTTTATCTTAAAACTCGTGTCCTTTATTGTAATTCATACATTTAAAATTGATTTTAATTGAAATCAATAAATATATTTAATTTTATCAAAATCTATTTGAAAGAATATCATTCAAACACGATCAATAATTAATTATAATTAAAATCTATTATGTTAATCAGTTTGTTGATAATCAATTACCCAATTCGAACTCATCCACATGCATGTTCAATTTTCTAAACGAAACATTGGCATCTTGTTTCCAGAGCTCGTTTCTGCTGTACGTAACATGGCACTAACAATCTGATGAGAACATGCACGTAAACAATGAGCAACCCCACATCTTTAAATAGTGGTATGAATTAATTTGTTCATATGAATAATTAATGAATTGCCTGTAGGTTTGGCCAAACAAAGAAACGGTCCTCGTGGTATTTTATAAATTAATCAGGGCACGGCCATCTTCTTCTGTAAGCCATTTTGAAATCTGGATGTTGCTGTCAAGTGTTATCTCTTCCCTTGTTTCTCTCTTCCTCTCCCATCTGACATTTCACTATTTTTCTCAAACAAATCACCACCGTTCAACACTTCCGCTCCCTTCGACTGTACCCTTTTTTTTTTTTTTTTTTATAACTAACGTTCCAAGTCATCGCTGACCATGTGCAGCTGGTATAAGAACAATAAAAACTCACCCATGCGCACCTCTTTTTATACTTTTTAAAACTTCTCTTTTTATATATATTAGAAGGGGCAACATTGTCAAATTTAGTTGACTCTGTAAAAAATAGATCGCATCTTAAAATATAGACATTCACCAGTTTCTATATATTCTTCATTATATTGGATACATTATATATTCTTGTAATTCTCAAAATGTATTCTGATTCGTTCATTTGATTTCAGTTTAACGCACTCGCGTTTGAAGTTTGTAAACCAGCAGAGTGATGATTGAATAGTAAGAAATGATGAAAGGAGGAGGTTGATTGTTAACGATAAATGTTTGAAGATTCGTTCTCAATTCTCAAGTGTGGCACGGCATGGAATGGACAAAGAGTTGGGAAGCCTTGGTTAAAAAATAGATGTTTGATATATAGAGTACATTTTAATATAATCAAAATGGATTTGTGCAGCCATGAGCGATTCGGCGTCTTACAAAATTGTATTCCCTGTTCAATTCAACGTGACTTTCCCGGCCCTCCTGCTTCCTCGCTGCCTTCGCTTCTCTTTTCTATATCCTATTTTTGGCCAATTTTTTCTGTCTTCTAGAAACCATGGAATTTTTTGCCAAAAAAAGAAGAAACCATGAAATTCATGGACTCCCCCCAACCCAAAAATACAAATAAAATACAACTATTATTTCTCATTGATTTATCTATGGAGTGTAGATTACGGAATCTTTATATACTTCGTTTCATGTATTTATGTTTCGAGAAGAACGTTTTAGTTTGATTTTTCGCACACATCTTTCTAAAATTCAAAACATTAAGTACATAAAGTTGGTGATTAATAAAATAGCTTTGTTTTGCTAAAAAAAAAACAGTAGTTTACAACAATTTTTTTTATATATTTATTTATACGAGTAATGCTAAAATGCTTTATTAATTATATGTTAAATGAAGGAGAAATTTTACAATGTGATTAATATTTTAATGTACTGATTCCATTTTTTTTGACTTTTGGGTCAAAATATAAAACATTATATTTTTTTTGAACGAATAAAAACATTATATTTTAAAACCGAAGAATTACTACATGAAAAAGCCTTAATTACTAATTAATCAATCACTGTAGCGATGAAGTCCAAAAACTAAATGGGAGTACTACATGAAGACTCGTCATTGTTAGAGTTTAGAGTTCGGATGGGTCAAGCCTAAGCCTGAATAGGCATGATTTTTTGAAAAGCTCGAAAAATTAAGTCTGGCTCGAATTTCTTCAAACAGCTCGAATATTGAATTTTATTTTAAAAATTATTTTTAATTAATTTTTAACTTTAAAATTAATTATTTTATTTTATTAAAAATATAAATAATATTTTTTGATATTTAAATGATGTATAGGACTCAAATATATGATATTTTAACATAAAATGACTTAAAACTTAAAAAATTAATTAATATATATTATATTTATATATTTTTAAAAAATATTTTTTTCTTTGATATTCGGGCCAAACCCTAATCTGATCGGACTTGGTTTGAATTTCTTTGGGCCTATTCAGGTTCTAAATAGGTCCGAACATAAAAAAAGTCACAATTTTTAAAGTCTGATTCTAAATTTTTTCAGGTGAGTTCGAGTTAGCTCATTAAATTCGGTCCCGAATTGCCAATTCTACTCATCATTAATAACTTGCTTTTTATATTTAAAGTGCCGAAAGATCTCAAAACTCTTATTTTTCCACGGCCTTGTGGACTGAATATTTTCCCACCTTCATAACGTCCGCAATTAATTTACTCCCTTTTTGACACGATCTTATACAAGCCCAAGGAATATTTATTTATTTTTTGACTGAAGGAATATTTAATTTTGAACGAAGGGAGCATCATATATAGTATGCTTTTTTCTTTCATTTTTTTTCCAAGTATGGGCAAGGAATACTTTCATGGGAATAGGGGCTACTAAATCAAACCCGCGGGGGGCTACGCTAATTTAATTTTGAACAGCTGTACTGTGCTCAAGCCTGAAGGTATTTCCTTAGGCTTTCCAAGATTTTCTTTTTAAACAATTTTTAAATTTAAAATAAGAATTCCAGCGAAAGTGAAATGTTTTAAAAAAAATGTGAATACTGGTAAATCTAATAATAAATTCATTTCCAGAAAAGTTTATTGGCCAAGAATTTTCTCCTCCAAAGTAGTTCACGCAAAGCGCCTATTCGATCATGGATCGTAGGGGACATCTTATTATTGGTCATTGGTCAAAGAAAATTTTTTCTGCAACGAACTCCAAGCGCGGAATTCCAACGATTACGGGTGTTCATTACGCAATTGGAATATTAACGAAAATCCATATCTCTAATCTAACATCAATAAAAAATGTTCATTTTTTACATTTTATTATTATAAATTTTTTTATAAATTATAATGCTCGTCATTCAATTATAAATATTTTTAATCAAGTTATAAATATAATATTTAAAATTTAAAATATTTTATAAATTTTATAAAAGTTTTTAATAATTTTTTTATGAAATTTAGGCGTAATTTGTTTTAAAATTATTCAAAAACCATCAGCGTAAATAAAAAACCGCCACCAGCGGGCAGAAACATCAACGAATGAGATGAGGCAAACATTGTTTACGCACTAAAGTTAAATCCAGGCAAATAAAAAAACTAATTGCTCATTTTTTTATTGCAGCTTGCTTGAATATCTCCTACCAAGAATGATACTTGCAGAAGGAGCAGGAACCTGAGGTGCTATAAATACCAGAGGAGCGAGCGATCCCATTCCTTCTGATTCCAGTTCTCCCTCCTAAACCTCTCCCATTGACCCCTACACGTAAAACTATATCATTTCATTACAAAAGAATCCTCTGGTTCTGTAATAGTTGAAAGCTTAGCTTCGACCTCGAGCAAAAAATGGCTGCTGCCTTGACCGGAGAGAACCTGTCGAGGCAGTCCAGCAGCAGAAGCTGGAGGTCCGGAAGTGTGAGAGAGATTTGGAATGAACCCAACGTATTCCGGCGAGAATCCGGCAGGGAGGAAGACGATGAAGAAGAATTGATGTGGGCTGCAATCGAGAGGCTGCCAACTTATGATAGATTAAGGAAGGGCATGCTGAAGCAGATCACTGAGAGTGGAAGGGTGATTCATGATGAAATTGATGTCACAAGACTTGGCCCCCGAGACAAGCAACTCTTGATGGAAAAAGTCCTCAAGGTTGCTGAAGAAGACAATGAGAAGTTCCTCAAAAGGCTCAGGAACAGAATCGATATGTAAGCAAATTAAGCGCCTCACTATGTTGTAATATAATCATTTTTCTTGAATGGTTTATACGCATTTCTTGAAAGTTTGTTTTGGGAGAAATGCGAATAAATTCTGCTAGTTTGCTTTTTTCTGTTTCTTACGTAAACAGAGATTAAGAGTTATTTGTTCGTGGTGAAAACAGGGTGGGAATAGAGATTCCCAAAATAGAGGTCAGATATGAACATTTGTCTATCGAAGGAGAGGCCTATCTTGGAACCAGAGCACTTCCAACTCTGATCAATTCCACCATGAACACATTAGAGGTGCTAGGATATAAACCGCTTCTTCTGCTTCTTATTACATCTTTCCTTTTGACTTTTCGTTTTTGCATTTTACGGATTTTTGTGTGTTAAATCTTGCATCTGAATAACAGGGGATTTTTGGAAAAGTAGGACTCTCTCCATCAAAGAAAAGAGTCATCAAGATACTTAACGATGTCAGCGGTATACTGAAACCATCAAGGTGATTCTTCTGAAAATGAGATTACTCCTCCTCCTGAATCTATAATTATCCTTCTGTGCGAGTTTACTTTGTAGGCTTCAACAACTTACCAGTTCTTTCGCAGGTTGACTTTGCTTCTTGGACCTCCCGGTGCAGGAAAAACAACTTTTTTGCTGGCATTAGCAGGGAAGCTAGATAAGGATCTAAAGGTCTGTTTTCTATGTGCCTCCCCTGTCTCTAGAAAAGTGTTGATGAGCGTTTGATTAATTTATCTTATATGTAATGGCAAATAAATCTCATAAACAGATGACTGGGAGAATCACCTATTGTGGCCATGAGTTCCGAGAATTTATTCCTCAAAGAACAAGTGCTTATATCAGTCAACATGATCTTCATCACGGGGAGATGACAGTGAGAGAGACATTAGATTTCTCCGGCCGTTGTCTTGGAGTAGGAACCAGGTATGATTTGCTTGCAGAGTTGTCCAGAAGAGAGAAAGAAGCCGGCATCAAACCTGACCCCGAGGTAGATGCCTTCATGAAAGCTGTATCTATGGCTGGCCAAGAAACTAGCTTGATTACAGACTATGTTCTCAAGGTATATATGCTCCCGTTGCATGAGGCTTGGTTTTGTTAATTAGTTCACAAGACTAACTTTTTACATCATTAAATAGATTCTAGGTTTGGATATCTGTGCTGATATCATGGTTGGAGATCAAATGACCCGGGGCATATCTGGTGGACAGAAGAAGCGTGTAACTACCGGTATAAAATATGTAGCAATAACAGACTAGCTAGTAGTAATGGGAGCTCAAAGTTTAATCTTCTACTTTGGTTCTGACTTGAGTATGTTTCATTTTATTAATGCAGGAGAAATGTTGGTTGGACCAGCAAAGGCATTTTTCATGGATGAGATATCAACAGGGCTAGACAGTTCTACCACTTTTCAAATAGTGAAGTTTATGAGGCAGATGGTTCATATAATGGACGTAACTATGATCATATCTCTCCTGCAACCAGCACCTGAGACATTTGAACTTTTCGATGATGTAATTCTACTTGCAGATGGTCAGATTGTGTATCAAGGGCCACGGGAAAATGTTGTTGAGTTTTTTGAGCACATGGGATTCAAATGTCCTGAAAGAAAAGGAGTTGCAGATTTTCTTCAGGAAGTGACGTCCAAGAAGGACCAAGAGCAATATTGGTTCAGAAGGAACCAGCCTTACAGATATATCTCAGTTTCAGAGTTTGCTCAGGCGTTTAACTCTTTCTTCATTGGCCGACAGCAATTAGAAGAGCTGAAAACCCCTTATGATAAAGCTAAAACCCATCCTGCAGCTTTGGTGAAGGAAAAGTATGGTCTTCCAAGCATGGACCTATTTAAGGCATGCTTTTCAAGGGAATGGCTGCTGACGAAGCGTAAAGGATTTCTTTACATATTTAAAACCGTGCAGTTAACAACCCTGGGTACGGTTGGCTTCACTGTGTTTTTCAGAACCAAAATGAAAACTGGTGAAATGGCAGATGGGGTAAAATTCTGGGGAGCATTATTTTTCGGTCTAATGAATGTCATGTTCAATGGGTTTGCTGAGTTATCTATGACAGTTGCCAGGCTACCCGTGTTCTTTAAACAAAGGGATTTCTTGTTTTTTCCTGCATGGGCATTTTCCCTTCCTATTGCAGTCCTCAGAATTCCCCTCTCGATCGGAGAATCTGTGATATGGATCGTTCTCACATATTATACAATGGGGTTTGCACCTGCTGCAAGCAGGTGAGTGCTCAATTCGAAAGCATTAGATAAAGATTCTTTATTTATAATAACTCATACATGGTGTTGATTTACTTTCAAGTTCTCAATATTTCTATTGCATTGCAGATTTTTCAAGCAGTTACTAGCATACATTGGAATACATCAAATGGCTCTTTCTCTCTTTCGTTTCATTGGAGGTGCTAGCAGAACACAAGTTATTTCTAACACATTTGGAATGTTTGCCCTATTACTTGTGTTTGTTCTCGGAGGTTACATCATTTCAAAAGGTTAGATTTAGTTCTTTTCATACAAGTTCGAAAGGAAGCTTCTGAGCTTGCAGTTTAAAGGGTTGAAGCCCAATCATGTGTGAAGTAGAATCTAAAATGGTGAAAAATGTTTCATTCTCTTTGTGAATAGATGACATACCAAATTGGCTAATTTGGGGCTACTACATCTCTCCTATGATGTATGGACAAAATGCTATTGCTATAAATGAGTTTCTCGCTTCTAGATGGAGCACTGTAAGTTCTCCTATGAATGCTTCTACAGTATTAATTAAATCTATTAGGTAGGCTCTACCTATAAATAGCTAATTTGAAACTACATTTTGGTGACAGCCTGGAAACGGCACAAGTGAAGACACAGTTGGGAAGTCGCTTCTAAAAATCGAGGCTTGTTCACGACAGAGTCATGGTATTGGATAAGCGTTGGGGCACTCTTTGGGTTTACTCTTCTTTTCAATGTGCTCTTCATAGCAGCACTCACATTTCTAGATCGTGAGTAACTTACTATCGTGCAAAAATTAAATCATCCAGCTTTGGTATTAGAAAAAGGCAAACATGTCAAAGCTTTGCTAATCTTGTTTCCTCCACGAACCAATTGCAGCAATGGGCAGTAACAAACCTATGATTTCGGAAGATGACGAGACTGAAAGTGTTTCTCCACAACAATTGGCATCAAATCCAGAAGGTATGGAGATGCCAGAGAGAAATGGGAGCTCCATAGGTTCTGCCATGAATGGTCAAAACAAAAGAGGAATGGTTTTGCCCTTCCAACCTCTTTCGCTAACTTTCGATCACGTCAACTATTATGTGGATATGCCTGCAGTAAGTTTTATAGTCTTTTATATAAATATCTTTTCTATGACATCTAGACGCTTTTCATTTCAAGCAACATAAAATCTTGTGATTGTGACTTATCACGTGAACCATTTATTTCTTATATATTGAAACAACCTAACTTTTGTAGCTTGATGTGTATGATTCATAGTTCTTACTTGCAAATTAAAAAACGTGTTTCTGTTTTCAGGAAATGAAGGGCCAAGGGGTTGAAGAGAGCAGGCTGCATTTGTTGAAAGATGTGAGTGGTGCATTTAGGCCAGGAGTTTTAACGGCGCTAGTTGGAGTGAGTGGCGCTGGCAAGACCACCTTAATGGATGTATTAGCAGGAAGAAAGACAGGTGGATATATTGAGGGAAATGTAAGCATTTCAGGTTATCCCAAGAACCAAGCAACCTTTGCTCGAATTAGTGGCTACTGTGAACAGAATGACATCCATTCTCCATATGTGACTGTCTATGAATCTCTTTTGTACTCAGCTTGGCTACGCCTTTCCTCAGATGTTGACAAGGAAACACGCATGGTACTTTAGTTGTTCATATAAGCACGATTTTAATTTCTGTATACTGCTGGATCACATTTGATAACTATCAAAGCTGACTGTAGTTTTTTGCTTTTGGAATAGATGTTTGTAGAGCAAGTTATGGAGCTGGTTGAATTGAATAACATAAGGAATGCTTTAGTGGGGCTTCCTGGAGTGGATGGTCTTTCTACTGAGCAAAGGAAGAGGTTGACCATTGCAGTGGAATTGGTTGCAAATCCCTCAATCATCTTTATGGATGAACCTACTTCAGGACTCGATGCTAGAGCTGCTGCAATTGTTATGCGAACCGTAAGGAACACAGTCGATACCGGAAGAACTGTTGTTTGCACCATTCACCAACCAAGTATTGACATTTTTGAGGCTTTTGATGAGGTATTAATAATATAGTGGGGCTCTGCTATATAGTGTAGATAAAAAAGAAGACTATCAATATTCATTTTGTCCTGTCTATTTCACCTTGCAGCTCTTTTTGTTGAAAAGAGGAGGACAAGTGACTTATGCTGGACCTCTTGGTCAGCATTCTCACAAGCTTATTGAGTATTTTGAGGTCCGTCATTTCCTACTTTTATTCATCAATAACCAATTCAATTGCTAAAGTTAACTTGCCCATGGGTTAGCTATACGCCTAAGCTTGTTTGAAAATAGAACTTACGCTAATGAAAATGGCTTCTGTAACAGGCTATTCCAGGTGTTCCAAAGATTAAAGATGGTTACAATCCTGCTACTTGGATGTTGGAGGTTAGCACTGCTGGAGTTGAAACTCAACTTGGTATTGATTTTGCTGAAATTTATGCCAACTCAGAGCTCTATAAGTAAGTTTATATTCAACAAATTACATTTAATCTTTGTGCTTTTGAATGTATCTCAAATATGATTAGCGTACCAATTTTGTCAGGCGAAATCAAGAGCTTATAAAGCAGTTAAGCACACCAGCACCGGGTTCTCAGGATCTATATTTCCCTACCAAATACTCTCAGAATTTCATTACCCAATGTCAGGCTTGTTTCTGGAAACAACATTGGTCTTACTGGAGGAACTCTGAATTTAATGTCATCCGGTTTGCTATGGCGATTTTCATCGGCCTTGTGTTTGGAGTAATTTTCTGGAGCAAAGGCGACCAAGTGTAAGTAAAACGAGTCCTGGGTCAATTTTTGGTGTTCCTTGACTCGAATCCCCTTAACCATTTTGTTTATGATTGATTTGCAGAGGAGAAGAACAAGATCTGAATAATCTACTCGGAGCAATATATGCAGCTATTCTTTTCCTCGGTGCTACCAACTGTTCTTCTGTGCAGCCAGTTGTGTCGATCGAAAGAACCGTGTTCTACCGCGAAAGAGCAGCCGGGATGTATTCAGAACTTCCTTACGCGTTAGCGCAGGTGAGAGATTGATTCAGATAAAATAGCTCAAAATTAATGAAGTAGCTTGATGGTGAATGCAAAATTAAACCTGCGGTGCTTACAGGTGGCTATTGAGATGATCTATACGGTGTTCCAGAGCATAGTGTACAGTCTCATTATTTACGCAATGATCGGATTCAAATGGGAGGCGGGCAAGTTCTTCTATTTCTACTACTTCATATTCATGTGCCTCTCCTACTTCTCCTTGTTCGGCATGATGGTCGTTGCCTTGACTCCTGGCCTCCAAATCGCTGCCATTCTCATGGCCTTCTTGTTTAATTTCTGGAACTTGTTTTCAGGTTTTATGATCCCCAGGCCGGTATGCTCTCATTCTCATCTTCATTCTGCTTGCCAATGCCAATGCCATATCTCATTTCTGTTGCTTTGTGACTGTTAGGGGCTATAATATAGATAAATGAAATTAAGTTATACTTCTAGAGGTTTTTCTTTAACAAGAGTTGATGAAGGTTTATATTTCTTCTCCGTGATCCTGTCTTTGCCCATTCGAACCTAGGACTTTGCAGTTAAGTGCAGAACACGCTAACCAGCAAGGCTTGCTGGTTTAACAGTATTGTTGTTAATAGAATTGGATGTTGTGAAATGCAGATGATTCCGATATGGTGGAGATGGTACTATTGGGGTTCTCCAATGGCTTGGACGATCTATGGTGTGTTTGTATCTCAGTTTGGTGATATGGATACCCCAGTTCATATAAGTGGTCAACAGAGTCAGGCATTAAATGCCTACCTTGAAGAAAATCTGGGCTTCAAGCATGACTTTCTCGTACCATTGGTCCTGGGTCATATCGGTTGGGTCGTCATGTTCGTTCTAGTGTTTGCCGGTTCCATCAAGTACCTAAACTTTCTCAAGAGATGAGCATCTTCCTGGATTTTGGTCTCCATTTTTTTTTTTTTGGCTTTTATGTTATGAATCTCTACCATTGTTTTGGGTGGCTCCCCACTGTTGTGCATATTTAAACTCTACAAATCTTTATCAAGTCAATGTAATCTAATCTTAAACCGTTTTTTCTTTCAAGGAATGGGCTCACTGAAAATATATAGATTGATTTTTATTAACTTCCCAATTTTCTCATATTGATTTATTAAAACCTAGTTAAAATCATGTGGAATCTCTCTCTGCTTCTCGCAGCATACAAGAAAGTATAATTAGTGACAGTTAGTAAAAAAAAAAAAACAAATCAACTCAACTAGTTTAATGAAGACATTGAAGCAATATGATCGCAAAAGTTGACAAATTTCTTGTAGCCAAATGTACTGACAAAAACTTTGCAACAGAAACCCAAAAAAAAAAAGAAGAAGAAGAAGAAGAAGAAGAAGGTTCTAACTTGGAACTATCCACACCAAAACAACTTTTCGGCGTCCTTTAATCAAGAAGACGCGAGCAAACATAGCAGGCCAAATCCGATCAAAGTCCAATTAAAATTTGTACAGTTCAGATTCAGAATATAGCATTGTATAGCATTGTGGGAAACCAAAATAAAGAATTATTCAAAAGGAGTGTTTAATAAGTGCTAAAAGTATCACTATTTGATAAATGGTTAAAACAGCAATTGGCAGTCAAAGTTTAGATGCTTGCATATCTTGCATGGACGCGTCTCAATAATAACAGCAACAATTGGCCAAAAAAAAAAACAGCAACAGCAAAAAGGATCATATATCAGCCTGAAAATTTTGTGCCACGAGCTCTCCCATCCCATGCACTGTCCCTACCAGCATCCTTGGCTTTTTTTCTGTGCCTATTCATCACAGGAATTAAACGAAAATTATTCATAAGCTTTCACACCCTTGTTCATTAGCGTACAGGGATTGACATGAATAGAACAAAATAAAGGTGGACTAGGAAATAGTTTTGGTGGTAACTCTCGTGTAAGCCAAGGTGTAAGGGCATACAACTTTTGAGCATCATTAATGTCATAAAAGCAAACCAGGCTTAGCTGCTTCCAATCTCTCCTACTCTGTCTTGTTCACTAAGGTTCTCCATAGCTTTGTGGTTGAGCCCTTTCTGTCCACTCCACGACCTAAACTTGTGCCTCAAGCACCTTTCCATCTTCGGGAAACCATATTCTATATAATTTCGCTGTACACTTTCAAACTACTTTATCTACCCTTATGGTATTCTTCCATATACTAAATAGGAAATTGGCATGAAAATGCCGCGACTCGAGGATCTGATTCGCTGGATTCACAGGGTGGGAATTCTGGCCTTTTTATAATGTAATGTAGCTGTAGCTATATGTGCATGACAAAAACAATTCGTGTTCCGGGTGGGAAGTAGTAGTTAGCATAATTCGCCCATATACCAACTTAAGAAAATAGCTACCTAACCAATGCAGACCCTCAGCATCTTTCACTTAGTTTACATACAAATTGATACAATATATATGAGGGAAGAGTATAAGAAGATCAGTCAGATGATTTAAACATTATTATTATTTACTCTACTTATATATAATAACTTTAAAAATATTCGAAACCAAAAATCTAGTTTGCTTTTAAGCGACGGTGACAATTAAAAAAAAAAATTGGAAGAAAGTATTTTTGCTCAGTGTAGAAAAATTTACCCTTTCAACTACACGAGGATAAAGGAATAGGCATTTCTGTCATTTTGGCTCATTATACGGATCTGTTAGTAACATTAGCTGGTGGTTTCATAGCTTCAAAGCGAGTCTTGTTTATAACCACCGAAGGTAAGGCTGCAGGGAAAGAGAGCCATCATTCCAGAGAACAAGAGAAAAGAAGAGAGAAAACTGGTAAGCAATAGCTGCAATTAATGGCAACGCCAAAACAGCTATATGAGCAGCAACAATCAAATGTTCAGAGAGTGAAGAACTCGGGAATTATTAGCTCAAACCAGAGCCCAATAAGGGATGACAAGGAAGAGGAGATGGCCAGATCAGCTCTGGCCATGTTCCGAGCGAAGGAAGAAGAAATTGATAGGAAGAAAATGGAGGTAAGGGACAAGGTTCACGCTCATCTGGGTCGCGTCGAGGAGCAAACAAAGCGATTGGCTGAGATTAGAGAAGTAAGTTCATGATACTTGCGAAACCATACTTCCACATACTTTAGTTGCTTTGTTTGTGTGTAAATATATGAATCATCAAATCCACTACATTTTAATTTTTGGGAAGAAAAGGCATGTTCATTTGGTCAGAGGATGTGCAGAAATATACACGAAGCCAGTTGTTCTTGGATAATTAGTTTGTATCCAAAGATTTCACGGAAACGTAGATGACTATGTTATTGAGGTACTGCGAATGGTGCGTGTTGTAGGAGCTTGAGGGTATCACTGATCCAATGAGAAAAGAAGTTACAGTAGTTCGAAAGAAGATAGACACAGTGAACAAAGAGTTAAAGCCACTGGGCCAAACCTGCCAGAGAAAGGTGGGGTTTTTTTTCCTGTTTTCTTACCGTTCACTTCTTGTTATTTGCTCCTGTCATTTCTAAAATGTTGTATGCCAAAGGAGCCATAGAAATTGTATTTGCGGAAGAAGAGGAATGGCCATTTAATTTGTTTTAATTACACAGCTTTTGATACAAGCACTTAAGCACAGCTTCATATCTCATGATTCATTGACTGACCTCATTGGCTTTATCTGGCCCCATGTTGTCTCATCGGCCGTGAGACAAGTGGATATGATCATACCAGTAGTTAGGGTGATCATTCATAATAATTGTGTCGGAATTTCCACAAAGAAAAATTAAAGGATGGCGATAGTCTCAATAGGAAATTTCAAGTTATTCATACAAGCTTCTTCCCCCTAATTATAAACAGAAGAAAATACAACAATAGGCTTGAAGTTTTCTGAAACATTTTTCTCTCCGTGGGGTGGAGGTTTACAGGAGAGAGAGTACAAAGAAGCCTTAGAAGCTTTCAACGAGAAGAACAGGGAGAAAGCTCAACTTGTTTCCAAACTAATGGAGGTTAGCAATATTTATTTATTTTTTGTTGCTCAAAGACTTAATAATCTGCTTATCGGCTTTCCGTGTCTTTATTTTAATGCTAGCTGGTGGCTGAGAGTGAGAGGCTGAGGATGAAAAAGCTGGAGGAGCTAAGCAAGAACATAGAAACCCTGCACTGAGATGCTACTAAATGTAGCCTTTTGGATTGAGTGTGTTGAGACTAGAATCACCCCCCCTTCGATTGAATGTTGATACAATATCATTATGCGTTTTTTTTCTTTTTGTTTTGTTTTGTATCAATTTCACTGACTGAATTAGTGAAAGAATATCTGAATTATAAATACTCCAAAAGATCCCGTCGTTGTATTGTGAGATGTGATGCATCAATCATCAAATTCCATTTCAATGTTCCGAAAGCTCTCGTACAACTAAAGCCCTGCATCAAACTTACCTAATTCATCATGTGTTTACTTTTCATTTCAATTGTTGAAGGTCACCCTAAACGTTTTTCTTTTTTATTTGACATCCATGATTATCTACAATTTTTTAAAAAGATAATTGTTAATAAATTAAAGGCTTGTATTAATCGACAAAAAAATGATTTTAATGTACAAATTTATCATATTCGCCCGTTGGCACAAATCATTATGTCTAAGTTAGAAACTCTCATTGGCCTATTCCATGGATTTAGGTAAATAAATACTTCATCCGAATTAAATATAAAGCATTGATCACTATTTTATTGTTATTAAAAAATATTAGTTGAAACCTTAATTACTTAAAGAAATTTACATTATTTCAATTGTATTTTCATTAAATATTTTATATAAACACTTTGATAATGATAATTAAAATTTTAATGTATCATTTTAAATAAAAAATTAAATAAAGTAAGGGTATAATTAAAAAAATAATTATAAAAATTATTTAATATTTTATATTTTAAATCAAGTAAAATTTTTAAAAGATATTCTATATTATTATTTAGAGAGAATAGTTTTTACTCGTAGTTAGGAATAAAATGCATGGATTTAAATTGAGTGAAATAAAGATGACCATTATTTTATTTTGATTAATTTTTATATTTATACAGAAAATTTCGCTGACGGGTTGGGTTTTTTAATAAAAATAACAGTTGAATGTTTTTTTTAAAATTTTTTTTGTATTTATTAAAATTTAAAATTTAAATTATTTAAAAAAACCTCGATGCCCATCAATTATTCATTGAGAGGACCAGGGTAGGCATGATTGTGGATCACTACTGCGGGTCCTGAACCATTGGCCCTGTATCTGTATCTTTAACGAAGGAATAAATTGGGCATCGGGTAACCAAAAAATAAATAAATCGGGCATGACGTACACTGCAGAGATTCTTATGCAGTCAATACTATTTCGAGAATAGAGACCGAAGGTACGACGACGATGGACGACTCCAAGGCGCTCGGAACTTTCAACCCTAGTAGCGATGGAGCAAAAGCAAAGAAGCCGAAGGTGGTAGTGATAATGGGTCCCACTGGCTCTGGGAAGTCCAAGCTTGCCATTGATTTGGCTTCCCACTTCCCGGTCGAAGCTATCAACGCTGATTCCATGCAGGTTTACCGAGGCCTGGATGTTCTCACCAACAAAGTTCCGCTCTCCGACCAAAAGGGTATATGAGTTTGTGCTTCTTCATTATTTCCTGAACTCTCTTGGTTTCTGAAATTGAACTTTCTGTTGTAGGGGTGCCTCACCATCTTCTGGGTACTGTAAGTCCAAACGTTGAATTTACAGCTAAAGACTTTCGAGATTCTGCTATCCCTGTAAGTTATTGTTTCCTCAGTGTTCTGTTTTGCCTTGGAAGTCTTTAAGTTGCAACAATGGGTGCAAAGCTAGAAAACCGGAGGCTTTCTTCTTTTCTAAGAAATGTTTTGAAGTAGCATGGTGAGAAGTACCATGTTTATTTTGATTAGGGCTTGTTGGCAGCTTTTGATTTTAAAGGTTTCTGATTGGTGGGTGCATTTATGATTTTTTTTTTTTGGTTTTAATTATTGCCTAATTGATCTTTAAACAAAGAATTCCTTTGTGATTCTTAATAGTTGTTTTCTTAATTTTCAGCTCATCAATGACATCTGTGCTCGCAACTGCTTGCCCGTCATAGTTGGGGGCACGAATTATTACATCCAGGTGGGAATTCTGAAAATCGCTGCTAGGAATTGTGCCCACTTTTTATTCTTATTGTTCTTCATTTCGGAATTTTATGATGTCCCTATATTGCATTCTTTTTTAGACTAACCATATCTAGACAGAGGTGATTATTTCTATATGTTACTTTTGTGGGTAATCTTGTTTGTTATCATGTTCAGGCTCTTGTGAGTCCGTTCCTTCTAGATGAGTCAGTTGAAGATATGGATGAAACCTTTATGGACAACCTTTCCGGTAAACTGCAATTCAGTACTCTAAAATGTTGGTCTAATTTGTCAATTATTTCAATTATGCTTGTCATCTGTTTTATTTTGCAGGTACTAGACCATTGGATAAGTATTTCATCCCTGAAAAGGACAGTTCAGACAATAATTATGAATTGCTTAAAGATGTTGATCCAGTTGCAGCAAATAGAATGCATCCAAATAACCATAGAAAGGTGTCTGATTTAATTGCATCATTCATTATTCTTTAACATAGATAAAAGACCCTCCTATTTAGAGCATAAACTCTGTTTGGTGGGTAATAAGAAATTAGGAAAATGATCCCGTATTACATCATGTGATCCATACCTATAAAGCTGCATCATCCAGTTTGAATTGGAAAAGGCAAGACTATCCATGATTCTGCTCTTTCTTCTATTGAGTAATAAATCTGTATAAGGTATTAAGAAATGGGCTATACCAGGCGTTGAGGATTCTGAATGATTTTTTAAATCTCTTTGCTTTTCTATTTTTCCTATGAAATTTCTGTTTACAGTCAAAGCAAGAATATGAAAACTTTGGTGTTCTGAAACTTCATTAGAAGAACTGTCCAGTTTGATTTCTTGCTGAATTTGTTATATGAATTGTTTAAATTGAGGTTGCTATGGTTACATGCATTTCTCTTTTCATTTGCAGATTAGTCAATACCTTAGCTTGTATGCTCGCACTGGAGTTCTTCCTAGCAAAATTTTCCAAGGAAAAGCTGCAGAGGTTTGTCAGCTTCTTTGGCTACTATTTATTGATCACATTTCCTAAACAATCACTATTCCCTTCATTGAAGAATTTAACTTCAGTTCTGAAAGGAAACGTGACTTATTGATCATGTACTAGTTGGAATTTTGGATTTTCTAGTCCTCAACATTGTTGTGTGATGCTTTTTATCTGTTCAATCCTCCCAAAAAAAAAAATGCAGTCTATCTTGTTCCCCTTCTATTTTATATATTTGGTAGTGACATCAAATGAATCAATGACAATCATAATATGAATCAAGGATATTTGTTTTCTTGTGTCTTGTGGCAATATTTGTGTTCTGTTTCTTTGTCTTTTTCTCATAACTAATGCTGGTCCTGCTTGTGCCAGGGCAGAAGTGGGGTCAAGTTGGTAACTTGAGATATGATTGCTGTTTTATATGTGTGGATGCATCTCTTCCTGTACTGGATAGATATGTAGAACAGAGGGTAGATTGCATGATGGATGCTGGATTACTTAATGAAGTCTATGACATTTACAATCCAAATGCTGATTATAGTCGTGGCTTGCGGCAAGCCATTGGTGTCCGTGAATTTGAGCCTCTTCTGGGAACCCTTGTATTTGAAGAAATCTACAAAAGAGAGAAAGAATCGTCCGAGGATTCCAGGAGAGAAAAGTGTGATAAATTGTCTGATGATGATCTGAGGGGTCTCTTGAAGTTGTCTTCTGACACAAAAGCCATTACACTTAGGGAAGAAGCAATTGAAAAAGTAAAGGTTAACACACAGAGACTAGTTCGCCGTCAGGTTAGAATAATCTCTCTCTCTCTCGCGCTCTCGACTTCTTTAAACTTGATTCTTGTTAAGAACTTTTGGGGGAATTTCAGTTAGGACCACTGTAGCAAGTTTATTTCAAATTAGTCCCAAAAAATTCTGATATTACACTAAAAGACCCAGGACTAAATTGAAATTCTATTTTTACAATGAAATGACTAAAATGCCCTTCAATTATTTTTTTAAAAATATTCATCCACCATCACTAGAACGCCACCGACAGATTGCCGCAAGAGCTTAGGCCACCGCCACTGACTGCCGGAGTTTCAGCAACAGCCACTAAAAATAAATACCCAAAGGTGGCCAATGAGGGCTTTGAACGCAACACCTCTTGATACACCAAAAGAATATTAACCACTAAACTAATGGAGGCTCTTAATTATATAATTCCATAACAAATATATGACATAATCAATTTTCCAAGGCAGTGCTTAGTAAGCTTGTTCATAATATTACATGTTATTTCACTAACAATACTTGTTAATTTACTAACAAAACTTGTTGGCAATGTCTTCTACGTATTTAACTTTTGTGACTTGTTAATTTACTAATGTCACGCGTTAATTAACTGGCAAAATTTGATGAGAATTCTTTTTACATATTTTATCCCAATGACTTGTTAAAAATCTAACATAACTTGTTAAGTTTCTAATACTACTTGTTAACTTACTAGTGAAACTTGTCGACAGTACCTTCTAAACTTTCAAACTAGGTAACTTGTTAAATCTCTAACTTGATTTGTTAATTTACTAATATTACTTGTTAACTCAATAGCAAAACTTATTAGCAATACTTCTTAAATATTGAATCCTAATAACTTGTTAAAATTCCAATTTAACTTGTTAATTTATTAGTATTATTTGTTAATTCACTATCAAAACTTGTTGACAAACTTTTTATGTATTCAATCTTGGTGACTTGTTAAAATTTTGACTTAATAAATAACATTAGTTAAGTAACAAATTAAGTTATGGTTTTGACAAGTCACTATGATTAAATATAGATAAGGTATTATCAATAAATTTTGCTTGTGAATTAACAAGTAGTATTAGTAAATTAATAAGTTAAGTTAGGGTTTTTAACAAGCCACCGAGATTGAATATGTATAAAGTATTGTGAACAAGTTTTTGCTAGTAAATTAATAAGTCATATTAATAATTAAAAAAATTAATAAGTTAAGTTATAGGTTTAACAAGTTATCAAGATTTAATATGTAGAAGGCATTGTCAATAAGTTTTGCTTGTGAATTGACAAGTAGTGTCAATAAATTAACAAGTTAACTTAGGATTTTAACAAGTCATCAGGATAAAATATGTAGAAAGTATTGTCGACAAGTTTAGCTAGTGAGTTAACAAAAAATATTAATAAATTAACAAGTTAAATTAGAGATTTAACAAGTTATAATAATTAAATATGTAGAATATATTATCAACAAGTTTTGCTAGTAAATTAACAAGTACTGTTGGTGAAATAATAGGTAATATTATAAACAAGTTTACTGAGCATTGATTTGGAAGGGTGATTATATTTTATATTTGTCTTGGCACTGTATAATGAAGGGGCATCATTAGCTTAGTGGTTAATAGCACCAAAAGGTCTTGGGTTCAAACTTCCTCTTGGCCACTTTTAGGTTTTTATTTTTGGTGGCCAGTGCCAAAGCTTCGACGGTAGTCCGGCCACTGAAGCTGAGCCTCAGCAGCGGCAGTTTGGCGGCTGGCTGCGGGTTTCAAAGGTGCAATTTAAAAAAAAAAATATTTAAATAGCATTACGGTAATTTCCTTTGAAATTTACTTTCAATTTAGTACCTTGATCCTTAAGTGAATTTTCAGAATTCATTGGATCTAATTGATATCGCATCCTGATCCTAAATTGAAATTCTCCCAAAACTGTTCTCATGGCCAGATTTGTGAGTAACTGAGAATTTGGCCATGTTGTCAATTTGTCATTAACATTGCATAGTGAAGACCAATTAAATGAGAGATCTTCAACTTGTATTTGTTTAGCAGTTTGTGGGGTTGCTATGAGTTTTTCCCGGAACCATCTGTGCTAATTTTGTTTCTTGACTCTTATATAACAATATTGTTATCAAAGACCAAACGAAATTGAAGAGAACTTGGCCGTTGCCCTTTCATTGACTTGATTGAAACAAGCACACAAGTAACGTCAGAGATTGATGTGAAAACTTTGTTCATACAGAAGAGGATGCTTAATCGACTGCAAAAATTGTTTGATTGGAATATTCACTACGTGGATTCCACAGAATCATTATCAAGTAAGCCATCTCGGTCCCTTTATATTTCAGTGTTCGTTGTCAACAAATAATGTTTTTGAGACAATTATTTGGGTTATATTTTGATTCCAAGTTCCATGTTTCAGGTAAATCAGATGATATATGGACTGGCCAAGTGGTAGAACCTGCGGTGAAGATCGTTAGATCTTTCCTTGGCCAGAATGAGAACTTGTCATCCACGTCAGGGACGTCGAATAGCGGTGGGATGAAGATGGTTGAAAGGGACCTCTGGACTCAATACATATGCAAGGTCTGCTAGGTTTTAGAATCCACCTGTCTGCTATGAAGACAAGGCAATTGTTTTGATTTTGATTCTGATGCTTTTCTTGTCTGGTTTTCCTGGTGGCCTTCCTATGGCAGGCCTGTGGGGATAGGGTGCTTAGAGGGATTCATGAGTGGGAACAACACAAACAGGGACGTGGACACCGGAAACGTATTTCTAGCCTCAAGAACAAATCACGAGGCCTCTGTTCGGCGGAACAATAGCGGCAATATTCTATAGTTCGCATCGTTTCGTTTCGGTGTGTTATTTGTTGCTGATACCTTTTCACTTTTCGTCCGCATCTAAGTGGAACCTTCGCTTCATTTCTCATTTCTTGCACTTGGAGGCTTGGAGCTCCTAGTTATCAAGGGTATGTTTGTTGTCTGTTTTTATTTTTTATTTTTAAAAAACTGTTTTGCAATAAAGTTTTTTAAATTGTTTTTCAAAAAATCTGTTTGGCTATGTTAATTTGAGAACAGTTTTAAAATTAAAAAAATTAGCTGATAGTGATGATCACTGGTGGTTAATAATAGTCATAGTAATAATAATAATAATGGCTTATGATAATCATTGATCAAGGTAATTGTAGTTTTTAATTATTAAATGTAATGTATTTTGAAAATAAAAAATAAAATGAAAATAATTTTAACTTGTTTTTATTCTTGTGCTTTTAAAAACTGAAGTTGAAAACAGCTTTGAAAACATTTAGATTCAAAACACTTATTTAAATTTTTTTATTTTTTTAAAAGACTCTTTAAAAACAGAAATTAAACAGGCCAAACTTTTTTATCTTGGGTGTACCGATCCTAGTTATTAACTTTGTTCTTGTTCCTTTGTTGCCTGCGCAAAAAATATTCGGTATAGCTAGTTAATTACAGTATCGCATTATTTATACTCAATTAATAACTAAAAATATTTTAAATAAAATAAAATAATTATCTTCCATCTCTTATTTACACCTTTTCTTTCCATTCCCGCTTAAGATTTTTTTTCCCCTTATTCTCTTTTAATACCTGAAATGTGTTTATCGGAAAATGTATGCTCTAATACCGAGACGCTCTGTACGCGATAACTTTTTTTTATCGTTATGCCACAAGGGGTATTTCTTCCCTGTTTATAATTTTTTTATTCTTGAATTGTTTTTGTATGACCATCCTACAACCAATACAGGTTTAAATGTAGAAAATAGATAACTAATTTATATAGATCAAACAAAGTACTTAGTTATTTATTAAAAAAATGTGTGTTGGTTAAAATATTTTTTAATTATTTTTATTAAAAAATATTCCTATTAATGTGTGCAAACAATAGTAATGGTTTGGAAAAATAATAATAAAAATGAAAAAGAAAAGAAAAAAGATTGAGATTTCACATTTAAAATTTAAAAACAAAATTTTGTGAAGTAGCCCTTATATATCTATCCTCTTACCAATCGCTTCAGCCCTCCTCCTATCTTTTTAACTATTGAATCTCCATTTCAAGAATTAAATTTATTATATTATAAAATTATCACACATAAGTGAATTTAAATTATTAAAATTTAATCTGAAATTGACATCAAATGATGGAGAAGATAAGAAGGTCGGAAAAGATATTAGTAAGGGGAGGAAGCTAACTGTAGAGATGGATATGTAATTTAAAAATAATTATGGGAATTTAAAAATATGTTTATTATAATTATGAAAATTTCATTTATCTTTTGACTGATAATTAATAAGTATATTTAAAGTACTCCTTTTGGTCCAATTTAGAGAAAAAATTTTTATCCTATTTATAAGTTACTTCATTAAATTTCATCACAATTTTTCTTGTTTTCCATTTATTGAATGTTCAAGAGAGAAAAAATCGTTATTAATATATATATATATATATATATTTATTTATTTATTTAATAAGGATAGAGTTAAAAAATTATTATATTTTAGATAAAGTTAATAATTTTTAATTTTTTTTTCATTTTAATAAAATATATTAAAAGTAATTTATAAATAAGACTAAAAGAGTATGAAAATACTAAAATAACCTCTATTAAAAAAAGAAAAATTTCATTTAAACCCTTTAACCAAATGTAATTAAAAAAAGAGGCCCAAAAACTTTAAAATTTCACTTCAGGCCAATGGTACTGAAATGAAATTAAAATATTAAAAAAAATTACCTAGATGATCTTACTGAAAAATAATTTATTAATATAAGTGGTTTGTTTTCTTAGATTAAGCTATTTATTATTTTACATTAAATTGTTCATTACTCTAATCTAAAGATTAAAAAGACAAATCATAGATATGTAAATATAGAAAATATCTAAACAAATAGCTTAAATTATTTTAATAGAATATACTATCTTTAGATATATTTATCATAAAAAATCTAACAAACTCATTCATCTCTGCAGACGATGTAACATCCCAATTTAAATTTTAATAGTTAATTTGGGTTAATAGAAATAAAAAAAATAATATTTAGAGGTAAGAAAATTAGTAGGAGATGATTATTAAATCTAACTTAGGATATAATTCTAAAAAAAAAAAAAAAAAAAAATTAAAAAAAATAAAAAATATTATTAAATTATTATTATAATAAAAAAAGGTAAAGGTTTGCAAAAAAAAAAAGGGAAGAAGAAGGAAGAAAACGTGCGGCCGCCTCAACAGTAACAATAATAAAATAATAATAATAAAAAAAAGAAGAAGAAGAGAGAGAAAATAATTAAAAAAAATGTGGAACCCACTGAAATTTTTTATAAAAACTCACTGTTCCTTCATTTCTTCATTCCTTCTTTCGTGCATGAGCTTCGACAGAGAGAGCATCTGTGAGCCAAATTCACCGGTGCTGGGTTTTAAGGTAAGAGTTTTTAATAGGATATTTAGAGTGTGATTTTAAGCTTTTCAAAACTAAGTAAGTGTTCTAAAATTTTTTCTTAGTTATCCTTTTTTTTTGGTTTCTGAGTTTGTAGTGGTAGAAAATTTAAGATCTGGAAGAGGGATGAATTTATGTTGAATAAATATGATTTTTGAGGTTGTTAGTAGTAAATAAATATTCTAGAGTATAAATTTATTGGTGATCTTTGAATTTGTGGCTTATGGATCAAATTCTAGACTAGATCTGAAAATATATGTTGATTTGTGGAGGTTTAGATGATTATTTGGGATGAGAAATGAATTATTATGGCTATAGGATTATGATTCTAAGCTAGAGACTCAATTTTTAATTTTTGAGTATTTTAGGTGCGAATTTATAAATAAAAAGAAAATTTTGATAATAGAAATTAGTTTAGAAGTTGATTTTTAGATTATTAATGTTTATTAATAATTAAAAGAGGAGTTAAAAATTATACTTAATAGTATTAACTATAGATTTGTATTAAGATTGAGATTAGGAATTATGTTATATTTTTAATTCTATTATTAGAATTATTTTATTAGTTTCAAAATTGAAACTAATATTTATAAATAATATGTTATTTGTAGATTGTATTACTGGTGAAGATTGTGGTGAGAGAGAAATTTTAAGGAATAATTTATTGAAAAAGCCACAAGGTAACCATGCTTTTAATTTGTGATTAGTGTTACTTCTTGTTAATTGGGTGATTATTGAGAAAATTATAAATTTTGTAATATTATATAATTGTGCAATATTATTATAATTTATTTGATTATTGTGGGAGATGTTAGGAGATTTGCTATTATTGTTGTATTTATGTGCCACGTGGTACGCCCCTATTGGAGCTCAATAGGTGGTTTGTAAGGGCTCGGGCTAATCTACCTTTGGCCGGGTAATTTAGCACCGAGTGAGGGCTACGGCTCGAGGTTAATGGAGGGATATAAGGATGGTTGTTTGTGTGTATTGTAATATTTCATATATTTGTTGAAATTATATTATTTTTAATTCTCACTTAGTAAGCACACACTTAACTGTTTGTATACACTATCATAAATTGGCTTTGGTTACTGGGACTTTTGAGTCTCATTATGTGGTTAACAATTTTCAGGAGAAGAGCCAAGAGTGACACGTGGAGGAGTCCCAGAGGCTTAGTGGTATAGATCCACTGTCTCTTTTGGGTATTTAATTTATGATTTATAATGTGTTATATTGCCAATATTAGGACTTTTTTATGTTTATTGTCAATTATATGAATATATAAATGTAATCATGCCTTTCAAACTATTTCTATTTTGGTACAATTTGGATGACTGTAATTTTAATATTTGGTTTACTTTAGATTGGTTAAAATGGCATGATTATTAGGCCAAATAACTGGCTTGTGTTGAAAATTGACTAAATTGCTTATTTTACAGTATAAGGATGGACTTGTTGGGAGTATAAGGATGGACAAATGTGATTTAGCCTAATGGCATGTGGGAGGTAAAAATTTATCTGAAATGTTATAGTGTGTGAGTTGAAGCCAATTATAAAATATTTTATATCGAAATTATTGATATAAAAATGTGTTGGGTGGCTGTAACCCAACTATGGTTGAGTTAATTATTTAAAAAAAAAAATTTGGTGTGTTACAATTTTTGGTATCAGAGCCAGGTTTCGATCCTGGGACCTGTGGGTTATGGGCCCACCACGCTTCCGCTGCGCATATTTATTATATTATAGTTAGCGGAAGCGTGGTGGGCCCATAACCCACAGGTCCCAGGATCGAAACCTGGCTCTGATACCAAAAATTATACTCTAGAATATTTATTATACTACTAACAACCTCAAAAACCATATTTATTCAACATAAATTCATCCCTCTTCCAGATCTTAAATTTTCTACCACTACAAACTCAGAAACCAAAGAAAAAGGATGACTAAGAAAAAATTTTAGAACACTTACTTAGTTTTAAAAAGCTTAAAATCACACCCTAAATATCCTATTAAAAACTCTTACCTTAAAACCCAGCACCGGTGAATTTGGCTCACAGATGCTCTCTCTGCCGAAGCTCATGCACGAAAGAAGGAATGAAGAAATGAAGGAACAAGTGAGTTTTTATAAAAAAATTTCAGTAGGTCCCACATTTTTTTAATTATTTTCTCTCTCTTCTTCTTCTTCTTTTTATTATTATTATTTTATTATTGTTACTGTTGAGGCGGCCGCACGTTTTCTTCCTTCTTCTTCCCTTTTTTTTTTGCAAACCTTTACCTTTTTTTATTATAATAATAATTTAATAATATTTTTTTTATTTTTTTTTAAATTTTTTTTTTATTTTATTTTTTTTTAGAATTATATCCTAAGTTAGATTTAAAATCATCTCCTACTAATTTTCTTACCTCTAAATATTATTTTTTTTATTTCTATTAACCCAAATTAACTATTAAAATTTAAATTGGGATGTTACAGTATGCCAGAGATTGTAACACACCAAATTTTTTTTTTAAATAATTTAACTCAACCATAGTTGGGTTACAGCCACCCAACACATTTTTATATCAATAATTTCGATATAAAATATTTTATAATTGGCTTCAACTCACACACTATAACATTTCAGATAAATTTTTACCTCCCACATGCCATTAGGCTAAATCACATTTGTTCATCCTTATACTTCCAACAAATAAACTAAATCACATTTGTCCATCCTTATACTCCCAACAAGTAAAATAAGCAATTTAGTCAATTTTCAACACAAGCCAGTTATTTGGCCTTATAATCATGCCATTTTAACCAATCCAAAGTAAACCAATATTAAAATTACAATCATCCAAATTGTACCAAAAATAGAAATAGTTTGAAAGGCATGATTACATTTATATATTCATATAATTGACAATAAACATAAAAAAGTCCTAATATTGGCAATATAACACATTATAAATCATAAATTAAATACCCAAAAGAGACAGTGGATCTATACCACTAAGCCTCTGGGACTCCTCCACGTGTCACTCTTGGCTCTTCTCCTGAAAATTGTTAACCACATAATGAGACTCAAAAGTCCCAGTAACCAAAGCCAATTTATGATAGTGTATACAAACAGTTAAGTGTGTGCTTACTAAGTGAGAATTAAAAATAATATAATTTCAACAAATATATGAAATATTACAATACACACAAACAACCATCCTTATATCCCTCCATTAACCTCGAGCCGTAGCCCTCACTCGGTGCTAAATTACCCGGCCAAAGGTAGATTAGCCCGAGCCCTTACAAACCACCTATTGAGCTCCAATAGGGGCATACCACGTGGCACATAAATACAACAATAATAGCAAATCTCCCAACACCTCCCACAATAATCAAATAAATTTATAATAATATTGCACAATTATATAATATTACAAAATTTATAATTTTCTCAATAATCACCCAATTAACAAGAAGTAACACTAATCACAAATTAAAAGCATGGTTACCTTGTGGCTTTTTCAATAAATTATTCCTTAAAATTTCTCTCTCACCACAATCTTCACCAGTAATACAATCTACAAATAACATATTATTTATAAATATTAGTTTCAATTTTTGAAACTAATAAAATAATTCTAATAATAGAATTAAAAATATAACATAATTCCTAATCTCAATCTTAATACAAATCTATAGTTAATACTATTAAGTATAATTTTTAACTCCTCTTTTAATTATTAATAAACATTAATAATCTAAAAATCAACTTCTAAACTAATTTCTATTATCAAAATTTTCTTTTTATTTTATAAATTCGCATCTAAAATACTCAAAAATTAAAAATTGAGTCTCTAGCTTAGAATCATAATCCTATAGCCATAATAATTCATTTCTCATCCCAAATAATCATCTAAACCTCCATAAATCAACATATATTTTCAGATCTAGTCTAAAATTTGATCCATAAGCCACAAATTCAAAGATCACCAATAAATTTATACTCTAGAATATTTATTATACTACTAACAACCTCAAAAACCATATTTATTCAACATAAATTCATCCCTCTTCTAGATCTTAAATTTTCTACCACTACAAACTCAGAAACCAAAGAAAAGGATGACTAAGAAAAATTTTAGAACACTTACTTAGTTTTGAAAAGCTTAAAATCACACCCTAAATATCCTATTAAAAACTCTTACCTTAAAACCCAGCACCAGTGAATTTGGCTCATAGATGCTCTCTCTGCCGAAGCTCATGCACGAAAGAAGGAATGAAGAAATGAAGGAACAGGTGAGTTTTTATAAAAAATTTCAGTGGGTCCCACATTTTTTTTAAAATTATTTCTCTCTCTTCTTCTTCTTCTTTTTTATTATTATTATTTTTATTATGTTACTGTTGAGGCGGCCGCACGTTTTCTTCCTTCTTCTTCCCTTTTTTTTTTTGCAAACCTTTACCTTTTTTTTTATTATAATAATAATTTAATAATATTTTTTTTATTTTTTTTTAAATTTTTTTTTATTTTATTTTTTTTTAGAATTATATCCTAAGTTAGATTTAATAATCATCTCCTACTAATTTTCTTACCTCTAAATATTATTTTTTTTATTTCTATTAACCCAAATTAACTATTAAAATTTAAATTGGGATGTTACAATTCTCCCCTCCTTTTAGAAATTTTGTCCTCAAAATTTAAAGTTAGTAACTATTAACTACTTACTTAATCAAAAAGACGAGGATAATCACGTCGCATACTGTCATCGGTCTCCCACGTAGCATCACCTGGAGTCGTGCCCTTCCAAATTACTTTAACCAATCTAATGGTCTTGTTTCTTAATTGCTTGTCCTTGTAATCCACAATCCTTTCTGGTTCAGCTTTGAATGTCAAATTCTCCCTGAGTTCAATTTCCTCGGGTTCAATTATATGGGAAGGATCTGGTTGATACTTTTTCAGTTGTGACACATGGAATACGTTGTGTATTCCAGCAATTTGGGGTGGTAATGCTACTTGGTATGCTACTGGTCCAACTCGTTTTAAGATCTCAAAAGGCCCCATAAACCTTGGTGTCAACTTCTTAGCCTTAATAGCTCTTCCAACACCAGTTACTGGAGAGATTTTCAAAAATACATGGTCACCTACTTCAAACTCAAGCGGTCTTCTCCTCTTATCCGCATAACTCTTTTGTCTACTTTGAGCTGTGAGTAATTTTTGCTTGATTAAAGCAATCTTTTGGGTAGTCTCATCAACAATGTCCGGCCCCAAAACAGTTCTCTCACTTAATTCTGTCCAACACAGTGGCGATCTACATTTTCTTCCATATAATGCCTCATAAGGTGCCATCTGAATGCTAGAATGAAAACTATTATTGTAGGCAAATTCAGCTAATGGCAAGTGACTATCCCAATTACCTCTAAGCTCAATGGCACAAGCTCTTAACATATCTTCAAGAGTTTGTATGGTTCGTTCCGTTTGCCCATCGGTCTGGGGGTGGTAAGCAGTGCTAAAACTCAGACGAGTACCCATGGCTTCCTGTAATGACTTCCAAAAGTTTGATGTGAATCTCGGATCACGATCAGATACAATATTTGTCGGCACTCATGCAATCTCACCACTTCTCTTATGTAGATTTCAGTTAATTTTTCGAGAGAATACTTGATATTAGTAGCCAGAAAATGAGCTGATTTGGTGAGTCGATCTACGATTACCCATATAGTGTCATGACCAGAAGATGTTCTAGGCAATCCTGTAATGAAGTCCATAGAAATGCTGTCCCATTTCCGCTCTGGAATATCAAGAGACTGTAGCATCCCGGCTGGTTTCTGATGCTCAATTTTGACTTTCTGACAAGTCAAACAATGAGTTACATGTTCAGTTACATCTCTCTTCATCCTTGGCCACCACCAACCACGTCTTAAGTCATGATACATCTTAGTTGCTCCTGGGTGAATGGTATACTTACTCTGATGAGCCTCCTCAAGTAAGATATTTTTCAATCGAGTATCATTAGGCACACACACTCTACCTTTATATCTTACGACATCATCATCGGTCACATCAAAATGTTCAGCCTTTCCAGCCCCAATCTCTACCCTAATCTTATTCAAATAATCGTCCTTCTGCTGCGAAATTCTGATTTCTTCCCAAAAATTATTCTCAAATTTAGTAATCTGTAGAGCAGCCAAACGATTTTCGACTACTTCTACATTTACTGCATGAAAACTACTCCATAATTCATGTTCTCTGACCATCATGTGAGCAGTATGTACAAGCTTCCTGCTCAGAGCGTCGGCGACTACATTAGCTTTCCCTGGATGATACTTCAACTCAAAGTCATAATCCTTCACAAACTCAATCCATCTGCGCTGTCTCATGTTGAGCTCCTTTTGATCAAACAAATATTTTAAACTTTTATGGTCACTGAAGACTTGAAAAGAAGAACCATAAAGATAGTGCCTCCAATTCTTCAAGGCAAATACCACAGCAGCAAGCTCCAAGTCATGAGTAGGGTAATTTTCCTCATGAGGCCTCAACTGTCGAGAGGCATAAGCCACTACTCGATCCTCCTGCATCAATACACAACCTAAACCTTTCTTGGAAGCATCAGTATACAAGGTATAAGGAGCAGTTGGAACAGGTAAGGTGAGCACCGGTGTGGTGGTCAACCTCTTTTTCAGTTCCTGGAATGCAATTTCACACTCGTTCTTCCAAATAAATGGAGCATCTTTCCTGGTCAACTTAGTCAAGGGCATTGCAATTTGTGAAAAACCCTTAATGAAACGACGATAGTAGCCTGCAAGACCCAAGAAACTCCTAATTTCTGTCACACTTCGAGGTTGTTCCCATTTCATCACTGCATCTATCTTACTAGGGTCCACCGCTACCCCTTCTTCTGAAACAACATGGCCTAAGAATTTAACTTCTTTAAGCCAAAAATCACATTTGCTCAACTTGGCATAGAGCTTGTGCTCTCTTAATATCTCCAAAACAATTTTAAGATGTCTAGCATGGTCCACCTCATCTCGAGAATAAATAAGTATGTCATCAATAAAGACTACAACAAATTCATCGAGATAAGGCCTGAAGATTCGATTCATATAATCCATGAAGACAGCTGGGGCATTTGTTAACCCAAACGGCATCACTAGGAACTCATAGTGCCCATATCTAGTCCTAAAAGCAGTTTTAGGGATATCCTCTGCTCTAACCCTCAATTGATGATACCCTGATCTCAATCTTAGAAAACACCGCTGAATTGACTAATTGGTCTAACAAATCATCAATTCGAGGTAAGGGGTACTTGTTCTTGATGGTTACCTTATTCAATTGTCTATAATCAATACACAATCTAAGGCTTCCATCTTTCTTTTTCACAAACAGTACCGGTGACCCCCGTGGTGATACACTCGGTCTGATAAACCCCTTCTCTAACAACTCTTCAATTTGTCTCTTCAACTCAGCTAACTCCGATGGAGACATCCTATAGGGTGCCTTAGAAATAGGCCCCGTACCAGGTACGAGCTCAATTGAGAACTCAACCTCTCGTTCTGGAGGCAAACCGATCACTTCAGTAGGAAAGACGTCAGGGAATTCTCTCACTACTGGAATCTGATCTACACCTTCTTCAATCTCTGCCTTGATTGAGAAGAAAATCATAAAAGCTTGACAGCCCTTTCTTATATACTGTTCTACTTGAGCTGCAGACAACAACATAGGACTTTGGGACTCTACAGGGGTTACAGTAAGAGCTGAAAGTGACACACTCTTTTTCTGACAATCAAGTACAGCTCCATTTGCAGACAACCAATCCATCCCCACAATAACATCAATCCCAGACAAAGACAAACAAATGAGGTCTATAGTGGTCTTTCGACCCTCATACTCAACCTCTACATTTAGACATGCCTTAGCAGTCCTTACAGTCAAACCAGCAGGAGTAGAAATCTTCACATCAAAAGGTAAGGTACACACAGGCAATTTACATCTTTTCATACATTCATCAGAATGAAACTTCCCACACTTACTGCATGCTTGATTACTAGCAGCACTAGGAGTAAGATTAAAGGTAGCTGGGCTCTGGTTGTGGCAGTGAAGGATGAAGAGAGATGTAACTGAACATGTAACTCGTTGTTTGACTTGTCAGAAGGTCAAAATTGAGCATCAGAAACCAGCCGGGATGCTACAGTCTCTTGATATTCTAGAGCGGAAATGGGACAGCATTTCTATGGACTTCATTACAGGATTGCCTAGAACATCTTCTGGTCATGACACTATATGGGTAATCGTAGATCGACTCACCAAATCAGCTCATTTTCTGGCTACTAATATCAAGTATTCTCTCGAAAAATTAACTGAAATCTACATAAGAGAAGTGGTGAGATTGCATGGAGTGCCGACAAATATTGTATCTGATCGTGATCCGAGATTCACATCAAACTTTTGGAAGTCATTACAGGAAGCCATGGGTACTCGTCTGAGTTTTAGCACTGCTTACCACCCCCAGACCGATGGGCAAACGGAACGAACCATACAAACTCTTGAAGATATGTTAAGAGCTTGTGCCATTGAGCTTAGAGGTAATTGGGATAGTCACTTGCCATTAGCTGAATTTGCCTACAATAATAGTTTTCATTCTAGCATTCAGATGGCACCTTATGAGGCATTATATGGAAGAAAATGTAGATCGCCACTGTGTTGGACAGAATTAAGTGAGAGAACTGTTTTGGGGCCGGACATTGTTGATGAGACTACCCAAAAGATTGCTTTAATCAAGCAAAAATTACTCACAGCTCAAAGTAGACAAAAGAGTTATGCGGATAAGAGGAGAAGACCGCTTGAGTTTGAAGTAGGTGACCATGTATTTTTGAAAATCTCTCCAGTAACTGGTGTTGGAAGAGCTATTAAGGCTAAGAAGTTGACACCAAGGTTTATGGGGCCTTTTGAGATCTTAAAACGAGTTGGACCAGTAGCATACCAAGTAGCATTACCACCCCAAATTGCTGGAATACACAACGTATTCCATGTGTCACAACTGAAAAAGTATCAACCAGATCCTTCCCATATAATTGAACCCGAGGAAATTGAACTCAGGGAGAATTTGACATTCAAAGCTGAACCAGAAAGGATTGTGGATTACAAGGACAAGCAATTAAGAAACAAGACCATTAGATTGGTTAAAGTAATTTGGAAGGGCACGACTCCAAGTGATGCTACGTGGGAGACCGAGGATAGTATGCGACGTGATTATCCTCGTCTTTTTGATTAAGTAAGTAGTTAATAGTTACTAACTTTAAATTTTGAGGACAAAATTTCTAAAAGGAGGGGAGAATATATGATTTATAATGTGTTATATTGCCAATATTAGGACTTTTTTATGTTTATTGTCAATTATATGAATATATAAATGTAATCATGCCTTTCAAACTATTTCTATTTTTGGTACAATTTGGATGACTGTAATTTTAATATTTGGTTTACTTTGGATTGGTTAAAATGGCATGATTATTAGGCCAAATAACTGGCTTGTGTTGAAAATTGACTAAATTGCTTATTTTACTTGTTGGGAGTATAAGGATGGACAAATGTGATTTAGTTTACTTGTTGGGAGTATAAGGATGGACAAATGTGATTTAGCCTAATGGCATGTGGGAGGTAAAAATTTATCTGAAATGTTATAGTGTGTGAGTTGAAACCAATTATAAAATATTTTATATCGAAATTATTGATATAAAAATGTGTTGGCAACTATGGTTGAGTTAAATTATTTAAAAAAAAAATTTGGTGTGTTACAGACGACATATTATTTTTTTTATTAGACTCCTTCATTTCCAGTCAAATTTTTTTTTCCCCCACTAGACTCCTTCATCTCTACAGACATTTCTTTTTCCTACTATCCTCCTTCATCCCCACTTGCAATGGCATTTTTTATTTTTCTTTCCAACGCGACCTCCTCTTTTCACTCCCTTCAGATTCATGCCACAAAAGATCCTTTACAATTAAAGTTCTGCAACAAGCCAAGATTTAGGAACCAATCTAGTGTTATGACTCAAGAGTCACGAGAATTAAGTAATAGAATTCTTTACGGGAAAGACCGCCACTATCCAAACTTTTTCCCAGATACGAGGAATACCACAAATCATCCTATTTGAAAATTTAGAAATTGTTAAGAAAAAAAATAATAAGTCTTTCAAGGATGACGATGGTCCTGGATTAAGGTAAGATATTGCCCAAATACACCTTCCTTTGCTTTTTAGCTGAAATGATATAACACTTGTAATAAGGATATAATCGCGACGTCGTTTGAGTTTTTTTTTTTTTTCAAAAAAAAAAATTTTTGACATGTTTTAAATTCTGTTTGATTCATAATTTATCACAATATACTTTGGTCAAATTACGCAAAACCTCACAGACTTCGATCCAGTTGTAACTAATCCCTTAATTTTTAAACTCGCCATTTTGCACAGATAACCCATTGTCGTTGTTAGTAGCTAATGATTTGCGAAAAACTCCTTTCAAACAATAATCTGCGCGCAGAAAATTATCTTAAAATTTAAGTTATACGCCAACCAATACCTTATTATATTAGTTTGGGTTAAAATGCAATTTGATCATTAAATTATAGGTTTAAGAGTATTTACACTTGTGTGTTTTACAATATTTCTTCTCAACTTTTGAAAATAGTGATGTACAAATATAACTGTTAATAAAAGTCAACTTTAGTCATTAACTTATTAGAAAATTATAAAAAAGAATTAAAAAAATTACAGAAAAGGATTAAGAAAAATTTGTGAATTCTTTTTTATAATTTTATTTGATTGACACAATTAATAAAGGATATTGTAGTTTAAATTTTTTTATTTTTATATAGAATTAATATAGTCAATTAATTTTCTTAAATTGTGTGATATAATTTTTTTTTTCCTACAAACAAAAACGAAGAGAGTAAGTTGGAATCTTTCATAAATTTTAAAATAAAATACTATAGCATCCTCTCTAATTTACCTTAATTACATATTCCTCCCTTAAGATTTTATTTTCATCTATCTAACCATTAAACCATTAGTTGACTATTAAGTTACATATATTTGACAAAAACATCTCCTTTTAAATATAAATATTGTCTAAAAATTATTCAAATTACAAAAAAATAAAGAAAAATTACATATAAGTCTCACTTAATACAATTAATTACTCTTAAGTTTATTGATAACTGAGTTCAGGAGAATGACAAATAGACTTGGGAGTTATTAATTGTGTTGAGTAGGACCTTAAAGTAATTATCTCAAAAATTAAAGCATATGTTTTCTTACTTTTTTATTTATATTTGAATTTTAAATTTTTTGGTTATATAAATATATTTATTTAGTAATTTAAATATATAAATTGATCAAAATAATATTTGAAACACGTAGTTAAAAAAACTTAATAAAATAAAGATTTAATATAATAAAGTATTCAATATAATTTATATTCACTTTTTTTAATTTAGACTCAAAATTTAAATTATTTATTTAAAAATTGACATAATTATTTAAAGATTTTAAAATTAGGTGAGTAGAAAATTATAAGATCATAAGGATAAAATAATAATTTAAAATTTTTTCAACATAATTACAAATAAAAAATAAATATTTTAAAATATTTAACGGAATATTTCTAACCATGTTAACAATTAAATTAAAGTGTAAGTTTTAAAAATAGAGGCTAGGGCTCTATAATAATTAAAGAAAACTGAAGGGAAGATCACTATATTTTTCTCTAAATTTTAAGCATGTTTATTGAATAATTAAATTCAGATGTTTAAAATTATTGTTAATTATCATGGTCAGATTTATAAATACCATTCATTTTAAAACTTACAAATTCAGAATAAGCCTCGGTAGTGCTTTATTTGTCCCCTTTTAATATGCCTCGGAGCATTGTATGGGGTGTGCTCTTATGAGTATATACAAACCCAAACTTGTTGAGATCATAACATTGGGGCACACTTTTTACGTGTCACAGAAAACATGGGGTACATATCGATTCCTTTTAATTATCTCTATTTATGTTGTTTAAGGTCATTTCAGAAATCAGGGAAGGTAAAGTCATTTTTGAACATCCGAGTCCGAAAGTTAAATTTTACGAATACATGTGACAGTGTAGCTGATGATGACCGGCCTGGAACTAGTGGCTCAACCAATTTAACTGGCGGCGTGGAACCACGTTGATGAAGGGTCATGTGTGTGGGAGGATCGTAGTATTATTGTAAAACATGAAAAGTGGCTGTTCCACGTGCGACCTCGAACATGATCAGAGGCGGACGCATGGATTGGTTAGCCCTACCACAGGACGTGTAACACGTTTTTCTTCTCGGGGATCCATTATTTATACAGCCTCCTCGACCGGACGTACAGGGGGCGGGGCCAATACCAGCAGATCGACCATGCACCACAAGAGGAAAGCCGGAAGAAGAAAGTTCAAGGAGACGAGGCACCCCGTGTACAGGGGCGTCCGACGAAGAAACGGCAACAAATGGGTCTGTGAAGTGCGCCAGCCCAACAACAAGTCTCGCATCTGGTTAGGCACTTACCCCACTCCTGAGATGGCCGCCACCGCCCACGACTCTGCCGTCCTCTCTCTCAGAGGCTCCTCTGCCCTTCTCAACTTCCCCGATTCTGCTCCTCTTCTTCCTCTCGCCCCCTCTTCTTCTCCTTCTGACATCAGAGCCGCCGCCGCCAAAGCTGCTGCTAAGAATATCATGAACAATGAAGAGGCAGGGACCATGTTCGTGGACGAGGAAGCGCTCTATAATATGCCTGCACTGTTGGACAGCATGGCCGAGGGTCTTCTTCTTACCCCGCCTTCCATGAGCAGAGCATTCATGGAGGACACCATTGCTCCTTATTCTCGTGACTTGGACCTCAATTTGTGGACACACTAGCCTTCACTCCGACTACGTCCCTGCCCCGCCTATAATCCGCCATTGTTATGGCTTCCAACCAAATATGTGCGCTGTCTAGCTTTAAGCTCAGTTAATTAATTAGTTATTTAATTATATATAGCTATCACCCCAAAAGAAATAATTGATGCGTTGGTGCTGAAAGTACTTTATTTGGGCATGAATTGAAATAGTTCATTTCATTATAATTACCCTTGTACGTATTTAGTTTTTTCTCTGTCCCTCAATATAAGTTTTAACATTGGAACTTATATTCAAGGACGAAATGAAAATGTTGATCAGAACTTATATTTAAGGATGCGAGAGATAGATCTAGAAGTATCCTTAAATGATATGACGATCGAGTTTAATGATCTAGACATTCAATCCAAGGGCTGACTTCTCACTTGTGCATCGCCCAAGTAGGAATCAGGTATGAAAGTAGATAGTTCTGTAAGATTTTTCAGTTGAAAAAAGGGGAGAGAAAATTTTAGAACTCCTCTCTACATACGTTTTTGGATTTACATTCTTTTCGTTACGTTAAACCAAATAAGCACGGAATAAATAATATATAACTGAAAATTTTCCAAAAGATTGTACTTGTATCATAACATTTAAACCAAATTTAAAAGTGGAAAAGAAGATTAAACGAATTAAAAAAACAGTTACATATATATAGCCCAATAAAACTAGTGCTTGGCATACCTGCTCTTTGGTTTTGCTTTTCAGCATATGCCTCTATAAATAGTTGCATCTAAAACTAGTGGTGATTGGTTAATTGGAACTTGATTTAGAGATGCTCTCCATATCGGATATAGATATGGTGGTCGATTATGTTGCACTCTCTGCTTTCAACTTGAAATATGTATCTTGTAAAATATTATAATACAAGATTAATGAAATCAGTGTAAAATTACATGTATAAAGTATAAACACGCTTCTCATAAATTCTGCTTAATCAGAGGATTAGGACCCCCCCCTCTCTCTCTCTCTACAGTACACACGCACACACATGTCTACATATATTTAAAAATTATCATTTCCCCGTTTGCCTCAAAACCCTTGGTTTGTCTAATGCCACCTCGAGGCTCCTCATTCTTCTTCTTTCTTTGTTCTTTACTCTTCACTGTCTCTTTTGTCTGCTGGAAGCAAATATTTCGTCATACAAATTTCTATTCATTCTCATCGTATAGCAGAGAGGATACCCCAAATCGAAATTGTAATTTTTTATGGTTTCCAAAAAGGAGGAGGTTTTATGTTAGCTTATATACCTTAAGAACTTGGGAATTGAACACTAACACATTTTGGGTAAGGGAACAGTTAATTAAGCCAGATTATACACTAATCAATTAATACTTGCACTAATCTGTAAGTATAATTATAAACACTATATTTGGCCTGGTGAGCCGCTGGTATCCGGCTAATTCACTCAAAACTTTATATTATAAAAATAAAAATCGAGTTCAATGTGTTTGAACTCAAATTATAAATTTAGAGGCTCAAATTCAACTCAACTTAATTGAATTTAAAATAATTAAAAAAATATTTATGAAGCATTAGCTATTAAATTAAGACCATCCACACTCTACCCATGATAAGTAACTAAGATGGAGGAAATGGTTTTTAAACTCAAGAAAACTGATGATCATGAGATTTGAATATCAAGTTAGGATCATCTATAAATAAAGAAGCCCTCTCTGAACAAGAATTATCATCAGTATCAATAAACTATCAATCTCAGATTTCGCATTTGTTACTTTATTTTATTTTTTTTTATCATGTAATTTTAATCCTTATTTTTTTATTGTACAATTGACATAGGCCGCCACCTCTTTGTTTAATTAATATGTCTCTATTTTCTTGTATCTATATTAATTTTTTTTATTTACATTCTCACATCCAAATGAACCGTAGTAAAAGAAGTTTAGGTTCTTCACATTTAATTAGAAGTCAGATTTTTTTTTTATTTTTTTTGAAATCTGGTATCTCTGCCACGCCTCATAACACAATCCTTTTTATTTTTGCCAAACACAATGACGAGTGATCCATTTTTCCTGACATTTTTTTGGGGAAAAATATCCGTTGTAAGTTCGACGGCTTCGCAGATGTCTTATCTGTATAAAGTAACTTTTAATATATAGGTGCGGGTTGGAGTGGGTGTGTGATGCCGGAGAAAGACTTGTATTGAGATCGATTTGGCAACTAAGCGTTTCTGAGAAATTTTGCCGTGGTGTTTTTTTTTTTTTTTTAACCTTTTGCCTGATGTTCATTTATATGCATTTGACTACTGTAAGAAAAACAAAGGTAAAACAATTTAAATGTTTTCGTCTGCTTTTATTAATCAATGAATAAGTGTAAATTTATCTGATCAACAGGATGATCCTATATATATTTTTCTTGCAACACGGTGTATGGAGTAATTTAATTTAATTTCTCTTCGGCGAGCGACATTATTTATTGTTAACCTGCAATGTGAATGTATTGATGTATTCATCACTTACTTACTATATATAAAGTCCAAATGCTAAACCCTCACTACATAAGATATAGAGTCCAGGAGTTCAATTATTCTGTTTGTCTTCATCCTACAATTGTATGAATAACGAGAACCAAAGGAGCATAAGTCCTCCAAAATATCAAACGCAGCAACCACCTCAAATTTGTCTTGTTTCTTCCTCCCAAAGACGTTAATTAATTGCGATGTAGATTTCCATAAAAGACCAGAAAATGTAAAAGTGCTCGTTCTTTGTCCATTTAGATTTATATCCATGACTAATTAATAATTAGACTAGTTTTTTTTGTCAAAAAATTAAGAGCGACTAGCTAGTGGCATCAATTTTATTTTTGAAGTTCAAAGCTTTCAAATTAACTATTAATAAACACGAACTTAAAAGGCCAAAAACGTTTAAAACTGACGGTTCAATTCTTTCATAATATATTTGGGCTTTAGGCGTTGGGTTTTTCTTATAGGCTTGATGCTGAAGATAATGCAGTCACAAATATATCCAAATGTGATATATTTTTTTTCTCAAAAAAAAAAAAAGAAAGAAAGGTGAATTTGGCGTCAAAGGCTCATAAAAGGCCTAGACATGCATGTTTGTAAATTAAAAAAAAAACACTTGGAGAAGTATGTATTTATAGATTTCTACTAACAAAGTGTTAATATTCAGTGAGGTTTGATTAGATGACCTTATAAGTCAAGCAATCATCAACCAAATCTATCTTTATTGTTTAAATATATATTCCTTCCCTTCCAATCTAATAGGTGGGAAGGGAGGAAATATAAATATTATTAACAGTAGCAAAGAGACAGCAAGTTAATTGGTTAATTGAGAGTTTGGTGCATGCAAGGAATAAAAATCCAGCGAGTGTAGTACATACACTGAATTAGTGATTTTCTATCGTATAGGGATTGTCAGCGGCTGGACATGTTATGACGCGTCTATTTCAATGAAGCCATGAAGGGTAGTCGCCCATTCACTGGATGCCTGACACCAATAATGTGAACGTGTCTGTTATGTTTCTCATTTCAGGGGAAAAGAAAACAGAAGGCGAGGAATAGGAGCCAATAAATTAAAAAGAAGCCGAAATACCCTGAACCCCTCCACCTTCACTCTGCAATGTTTATAATCACGCCTCAGCTCACAGATCTTGACATTTAACTTCCTGCTTGTTGAAATGACCGCTATTAGATTTAAAATTAGTAGATGATGGCTTTCTCAGGGACAATTCCGTAAATGTGGATGGCAAATACTTCAGATCATCGTTTAAGTCACTTGTGGTTGGTTATATTGCTGTTGGAGTATAAGATCTGATAATAAACAAAGTCAAAACTCTGATGTGCCGACCGACGCTAACAATACATCATTAGCTATAGAGACATCAGTGGGAGACTGACTTGTTTCACACGCACGCAGTTCTGAATTCTTCTCCCGCCAGTCTCTCCTGTGCCAACGTAACATCGATCCTTCCAGCGTCTTTTTTTTTTTTTTAATTTAAAAAATATACACTTCTCAGGCTCTGGGTCTGACAGTTATGAATTTTCCTAGTTTTTACATTCCATCCTCCCAATCGATTCCCTTAACGCAAAGCAGGGCAGGAGCCCAGCCCAGGTCTGCACACCAAAGCAAACAGACGCATCAGGGGAGTCGTCTCTGAGAGTATAAAGCAAACTTTTGAGCCGGTGCGCATATGTCAGAAGTTTTGTTGGTATTATAATATTGGAGGGAATCAAATAAAGCTGTGAGAGCAAGTGCCATGTTTGTGCCTTTAGTCCCGCCTTTCTTTTTCGGGTAGAATTCAGGAATTCCTCAACCAAAAACTTTCCTCCTGAATTTTTTTAATTCACACGTGAGAAATATTTAATAAGAACAAATTTATTTTTTTACATATATCAATGATTTAACTATTACTTATTAATTTCAACAATGAATTAGTTAAGAATGACTTGTGTAAAACATTGAAGGTGATATAATCAAGAAAAATAGTTAAAACGCTACTCATTAAATTTCTCTCAAAATAATTTTCCCCCCAGAAAACTTGACTATATATTTTCTCTCTACTACTCATTCTCAGTGAAAAAGCTTGACTGTGTAATTAATGGTGAGTATTCGTGAAATAAATAAATTAATTCTCCGATTAAACTATACTTTATTTTGAACTAATTTATTAATCTAACAATCTCTCAGGCACCTTATACTGGAGACACGTGGGAGCGACTTGTACTGCTTTGCCCTTTCCACTTTATTTTTTAGCTGTTTACTTTTTCCTGCTGCATCCACTTCCTAATGAGATGAGAATAGCGTCCACAAAAAAATGCCGCTCGCCCCTGACGGCTCTTGTGCCTCAATTATCAAGAGTTGGGGTATATGTCTCATCCCCTGTTCTGAACGGTTAGTTCAAACAATTATTCGGCAGATAAAAGGAGTCACCCCTCGCGAACGGAGCTTTAATGTAACGTGTCGGAGAGAGACGGACCCGTCCAAGCCTGTCTTGACATTATTTGATTAAACGCACCATCAAACGCGATTGAGACTCCCAGGACTGAGTAGCGATCGAGAAAAATAATTCCAACACTACTGTGCCAATCAATGCTGACTGAGATAGATTGCCTGGACTTGCTACTAAAAACATTTCCCGCGGGAAGACATATCGTTTCACTTCCCACCTCCTCATCCCATCGCGTATACCCTATCTGGTCTCCACCAGACAGTGACTCCGGCTGCGAGTTTTGCTTCCGTGATCACTTGCCCTAGAGGACTCGTTAATAATTGCAATGCGAATGGAAGCACTATTAGATCCGTAAGCAGGCAATAAATGTGAGGAAATCTAATTAATAAACTTTTCACTGACCACCTCCAATCGGACTGTATTCTCGTGATCACCATCTTCGGCTCATCAGCCGAAGTCAGACTTGGGACTAGGGTCCAAAATGCCCGTCAATCAGATACCTTGATGATAAATATACGAGTGCACGACATGTGATCCAATGTATTGAAAGGGGAATAATGAGCGCTGGTGGTGCACATGGGCGAGGTCATGGAGAAAAGTCCAGGCAGAAAAAAAAATGGGTCTGCCACATCATCATAATGTTTCTGAGAGGCCAACTCATAACTCAAACTTCTATGCGAATATAACACCAAATAATTAGGACCCCATCCTCTGTGCCCAGACAACGGCACGAGACAACACTTACGGTGGAATTCAGAGAAGAAGTTGCTCTCTGGTGGGTCTATGCCTCCAAGAAATTGTACCTTTTCAAAGATTCAGCCGTGGATGCTGTCTCCCAAAACAGCTTTTCTCACTTCATTACCGCCAAAAGGGCGGTGAGTAACAGTGCCCTCGCAAGGTTGACGCTCGCGTTATAAATTGAACTGGTCGCCACGGGTTCTGGCTCATAATCAATCAAGTGCCCTGATCAGTTTCAGGCATGGGAGAGGGAGATTTCAAGCATTTAGTTGTTGTCAAGTTCAAGGAAGGGGTGGTCGTTGAAGACCTCATCAAAGGGATGGAGAAGATGGTGTCAGAGATTGACAATGTCAAGTCCTTTGAATGGTGAGAAGCATATATGTGCCGTTTCTCTCCATTCAGTATTTATTCACCAGGTACCGTGTGTGTGAATATTAACGGGTTATGCGTCTTTGGTGCCAAGCAGGGGACAGGACATTGAAAGCCTGGATGTGCTGAGACAAGGTTTCACGCATGCCTTCCTCATGACATTCGCCAAGAAAGAAGAGTTCGCTGCGTTTCAGGGTCACCCGAATCATGTGGAGTTCTCAACAACGTTTTCAGCTGCCATTGAGAAGATCGTGGTGCTGGATTTCCCAGCTACTCTTGTGAAAGCACCGGCTTAAGATTTTCAACATCCTCTGTTCGACCCATTCATCATAAAGATTTCACCTTTACAGCTATGTATGCATCCGCGCGTCCATTTGTCTGTGTGATCTCTTGTTTTGTGATGGGTCCGTCCATCCGTACAAGTTCTCTTGTTACGGACTTATAGCTAGTACGCATGGCTTATGAACTATAAACTGTTCACCCCTTCTCTTTAATGGATATTTTGTAGCAGTTGGTATTTGACAGTATTAATTCCCTATCGGCTACAACTTCTTTTCAGGCGTATCAGTGCATATCCTAATTTCTAGCCTGGGCCGGTAGGTCCCTCAGAAGTTAACGAACGCGCGAGAGAGAGGGAGGTGGGGGGCAGAGTAGATGGGAATTTGCCAATTTGGAACTCGAGAAAGTGATTACTCACTCACTCTGATGTCATCAGGCCCGGCCCGCTTAAACTATAGCCCAACTGTTTTTGTAGTGCAATGAGGGTAGGGACTCGGGAATCCTTTCATCAGCAAAGAGGATCAAAGTATTTTGTGTTTGCTACCGGCCATAATGAAAGATGCATGGTTGAGAAAATATATAGCCTCTAATATTGATAAAGTCTGTTATTTATCACCAAAAGTAAATCATGCCTTTTTGCCCAATCGAATCGAAACTTGTTTTAATAGCTTATAACCGGAAGGTGGAAGATGCAGTCATGCAGAGCTGAACATGCATTCAGATTACGGCTAATGGGGAATATGAGCACAATTTCTTCCCTTTCTTCATTTTCCTGTGAATGAACGAAAAGAGCAAGCTAATGGAAGGAGGAAACACAGGGTGCCTCTTTATAGGGTATAGTCGAGGGCAGTTCTGGCATGTTGATTTTCTTTCTTTCTTTTCTTTATTATTATTTAAAAAAAAAATATTCCCGTGAGTCATGTTGATCAACTTGGCATAATGATTGCACTATGATAATGTTCACTCCTAAAAGATGGCTAGGAAAGACGCGGCATTTTGCACGCCGTTAGTTCCCAACTTCGAAACGACATCTGTCGTTGATCTCGAGGAGCTTAAAGTTGCTTTCATGAGAAATGATTAAAAAAAAAAAATGAACCTGCGATTAATCCTCCAATGCCAACGATATGAAATGACTGCATGTTTTTTAAAATTTATATAACGCAGCATTTTTTATAAATAATCAATAACCGGAATTACTTCATTTCTTTAAAAAACTTTTTGTCTGCCATCTATTGTAATGAAAAAGATATTAATGACATATTTCGGTCGTAAGAATTTTCCCCCTCTTTATTTTTGGTGTACAACAACTCCGAAGAGTACTTAGAAAAAGCAGTATTATTTATAAATAATGAATAAATTGTTCAGTTGTGTTAGAAGGACACGATGGTGGATGGGAGCAGACCTATTATATATAATACAAGAATCCATCCTCCAAATTTAAAAGCATTGCGGTGAAAAGGATAAAGTGTCAATTGTTAACGTCAACTCAGCAGAGGATTTCTCATTCCCATGCATTAATGAGGGTCATTATTAACGTAACATGCATTCATTTCATTTTGGCTAATAATATAGTATAAAATTTTTTTAAATTCTAAATAATTGTATGTGATTCTCTTAATTTTAAACATTTAAAATTAACTCTTATATTTTTTAATTTTTTTTAAAAACCCACTATTAGTGAGTAACTTTATTATGTTATCAATAAATTTATCATGTCAAATTAATAAAACATGCATAGCACATGATGTGGGGAAAATATTTTTATTTATTTTTTAACACAATTTAAATAAGAAAGGGAAAAACCATAATATTTTGCTTTTAACATACATAATGATATTCTCAATTTTTTTGTTGAACAACTTTATTCTCATTATTCAGTATTAATATAAATTAAGAGAAAAATTATAATTTTATTATTCTTTATCAATTAAAACAAATTTTTATATTAAAAAATGAAAGATATTTAAAAGATGTTATTAATAAGAATTATACAAATAAAAATTCATTCTTTAATACAAAAAATATGCACCATTGATAAGAAAAAACAGAGATAAAACTAATACAAAAATAAATATTTAAAAAATAATATAATTTTTAAACAGTTATTATTCACTTACTTAAAATGTCAAAAAGTTTTATATGGCTTTTCTTAATTTGATATGACAAGTTATATTAATAATATAATAAAGTTAATTAATAATAAGGAGTTTTGAAAAAAAAATTACAGCTCATGAGAGTTAATTTTAAATATTTAAAAGTGAGATAGATCATATACAAGTGTCTCAAAATTTAAAAAGATTTTTTATATTTTAACCTCTCTGTTTGATTTTTGTTACTGTGATCAGATATTTATCCAAATGGAGTGGTCTTCAAGTAATTTGCCCCCTTCAAGTAATTTCATGCTACTAGCAACATTCCTGTTGATTCATCAACAATTCGCCTTGCGCACCCAGAGACCGATCTGCCTATGTGATTATCTAATGATGATATTTATTTTTATTATTATCTAGAAATAAAAGCATGACAATTTTATAATTCTGAATGTTTGTTATTTTACATGCCCATCCATAATCTGCGTGTGATTCGATTTTTGGGCGATATAAATATATTTGATTTGCATTTATTTTCCGGAATTGCAAGTTTGCGCTGGCAAACCAATAGGGACAAGAAATATAATGGACTTTAGGGTGGGAATTTTTCATTAGTATATATCTAAAATTTATATAAGCTCACATTATTCACAAGTTATAAATAACACAGTTTTGATAATCATAAAAAAAAAATAAAATTTTGATTGCTAACAAGAAAATACTTGAAAGTAATAAAAAAAATAAACATAGATTGTTTTTTCCTTCCTTGTCCTATATCTTAGATAAAATATACCTCAAGGAAATGGTATCTAAGGATGTTGATGGAGATCATGAAAAAAATAGAATTTCTTGACATGTGTTTCAAATTAACCGTGTGGATAAACAAGGCAAAAAAGAAATAGTGTGACTTTTTGATAATAAGGAAAAATTATAGTAAAGTCTCACAAGAAAATTAATAACAATTAGATCATTGAAATTTTTTTTTAAAAAAATTAAGTTGCAAGTATCAAATTAAATAATTACAAATAAAAAATTCGATTGCAAGCTAGAAATTATATTTATAATTTTAATAATCTATTTCTAATAAAAACTCTTAAATTTGAAACCTTTTTTTGCAAAATTTTACCAAAATACTATAAGTATTTAGGTCATGTTTGATAACATTGAATTGACAAGGTGAAAATAAAATTAAAAATAAAATCCTAATTTAAGCATGATTGGTATGCAAGAGTTGTAATTTCTAAGAATTTTAATTCTACCAAAAATGCTAGAATTTAATTCCATCATATTGACCATGAAATTACTTTAATTCCTTTGAATTCAATTTGTGGACCTCACTTTTCTCATCTTTTTTGTCCATTTATAACAAGATAGGTCTTTTAAATTAAAAAAAAAAGAACAATTTAATCTTTTCTTATTTTAAGTACATATATAAATTAATATTATATTAGAATTCCATCTTTATACCAAACACACTTTTAAAACTTAATTTTATTATGATTTTAATTTTAATTTTGATTTCATTAAAAACTATTCTATCATATCGAGACCTAAAGTTTTCCTTTTGAGATTTTTTTTTCTTTAAAAATAAAAATCAGAAGGGGAGGATGCTGTTAAAGACAAAGAAAAGGGGGAAAAAACAAGTGTGAGAGAAAAAGAAAGGTTGGTCCGGATACTTTACCCGGTCCTACGCTGCGTGCCCTCTTTCCCTCCCCCCGCCTTCCCTTCTTCTTATCCCATTTGACATTTCTATCCTTAGATTAGTGAAGGAATGTTAGGCTAATCGAAACTCTTGTTGAATGAGATGGTATTATTAATAGCTGCCCCATGTATATTTTGAATTTTTTTATATTTATTTAACATGATTGTATATTATAAAATTCAAACTCAAAATCACATAATAAGTTGATTTATCTTTCTTGATCACTTTAACTAAATGTCCTCAATATAGGTGGTCAAAATTTAACCTACTCAATATATAACTGCAATAAAAGAATAAAAAATTAATATATAAAAATTTATAATAACAATATACATTGTAAACTATGCAAGTTAAATTTTAACAATTTAAATTTATTTTTTATTTAATATGATAATTATTTTATGAAGCAGTTAAAGTTGTTGATAAAAATAATTAAATATAACTATTTATTTAATTATTTAAAGGTAGAAATGAAACGAGAAGAGAAAAAGAAAAAAAGAGGGGAGGTTAGTGTGCTGGAGAGGGACTACGGAATAGCTGAATAGACTTATCCACCCCCACCGCTAGTCCATTACACTATCTACACATGCCTTTATAAACATTTCACTTGATATTATATGGTTAGTTTTTTTTTTTTAATATCATTCTATAATATTTAGTATTCTCAAGCAACACTCAAATATTTTCAGACTTTGTGGAAAAAGAATTCCGGTTGATATTGATTTTAGTTTAAAAGCCCCATACATGTGTCCAAGAAATAATGATCGTTCACGAGATTCTCGACTTTATTTTCCTAGAAAGGCTAAAAGAAATTTAACCATGCCAATCAAAGTACCCAGTTGCCCTTTTACCAAATCTTCGTTGATATCCCTTGTCATCATCCTGAAAAGTTCGCCTCGCCCTTCTTATATCCCAATGGCCCAATCTCAATCTATGCATCAATTTGACCATTTTACCAATGAAGACACACTTGCATGATCGCCATCACGTTCTTCGTTCACTACAAATCCTATTCCTACCCTTGATTAAAAACACACCAAAGTTCGTTCAGTACCATCCTGGTCACAAGGAAGAACATGGTAAAACATGACTCGGTGAATGAAATTGCCCATTGCTCTGGATAAATCTAATATGTGCAGCTCTAAACTATTTTCTATCTTGATCCTATCACGGGAAAATGTGAGAGTTCAAGCCAGATGAGAGAAATCAGAAAGAATGAGAAATTGAAGAAAGAGAGCTAAAATAAGTAAAAGAGATGATTCAAAGACTAAAAATTCCCCTCACGTATTCTTACAGGCATAGATCAACAAGGAGAATTCCGCTCCATCTTTCTCCTTCTGCGCCATCTTCTCCTCTAACCACAATCGGCTATCCATCCCGCTCCTTGTCCTGAACATGAACACCGCAAACCCAGAAACAGGATTGAAAAACCAGTCGTGAACATCCCAAAGCAGATCCACGAGCAACCCGTCAACGAAGATCGTCTGGTTCCCCCTGAAATTCCACTGCAGCCTCTTCACTCGAATCACGGTCTTCTTATCGATACAGACTGACAGTACTGGACACTTCAGCCCTTCGTTTTCTCCGCTGCATTTGATCAGAACGTCGTGCCAAGAACCTGTGTCGCAGAACTGAGCCTTCGTCGTGTAAAGGGTATTTCCGGAACAATGCTCTCGCCGCGAGATGAGAGAGACTTTAGCTATGGAGGGATTAGCTTTCAGCTTTTTCGTCACCGTTTCCTCTCCGACATCCCCGAGAATCAGGCTTATTTCTGAATCTACGAGAACTAGCATAGAGAACCCATCGACGGGTTCTGGGCCGGATTCGTATTTAGCATTTGAAAGATCCCAGATGATTTCGATTCTTGAGTCGTCAGATTCGAGAAATTTGCTTCCTTTCTTCTTCCTGAAGAATCGTGAATTTGTGTTGAGTCTGAATGCTGCCGCTGCAACAGTTGAGTCTCCATCTCCAAAGCTCACGCTAAATCCTTGATTCGAGTGTGTTCTACACCATGTGACTGTGATTAACAGCTGCTTCTGCGTGGAGAGGATGACTTTGTAGACGCGGGAGACAGAATTCTGGATTGAAGGTGTGAGGGAGGGTGAGATGCAAGCATTTTTGGAATAGCTAGAACACGAAGAATGAGACACATCCACGGCGTTCTCGCTGAAACAAGAGACTATGTCTCTCATTTTGCAGATAACTTGCAGAGATCTGAACTTTTGGAGAAATGGGCCTCTGGATTTTTGGGTTGCATCAAGAGATGAAAAGTTTTAAGGTTGACGAAGGGGATCGCTTTATTTGAATTTTGAAAGGGGGAGAGTAGCAGAGACGCAGGGGAAGGCAATCCAATTTCCTGATGGGTGGGCAGGCTCCTTGACATGAGATATGAGTAAAATCTCCTCCCCCTCCCCCCTTCTCTCTCTCTCTCTCTCTCTCTCTCTCACTTTATAATAATATATGCGTCTTATACGAACATGAAGGGAAAAAAATAAGGAAATGAAAGATTGGGAGGCAGAAACCGAGGGAATGACCTTTTTTTTTTTTGAAAAAAAAATTTGCCGGCTAATACCATATTATGTTCAAAGCCAACACAGGATAATAGGAAAGGAAAAGCAGGCCATCAAAAAAGTTGGCGCTTGCCTCCATTTTCGCACAGTTTTTGCGAAATGATCTTGTCTGCTTTAATGGTTTTGGCCCTCGGGTTTTGTGATTCTTAAGATACCTAATTAAGCTCACTAATGTCATCAATAATCAATTGAATTTGTTGAGTCCGTACCTTCTTGGCCTCTCGGTTTAATTTTATTTCTCTCTATTGATCAAACAATTAAAAAAAAAAAGATTAACAAGTTTATGACGAGGAATAGAGGGGGATGCAGGCGATTGGACTTGGGCTGGCTCCCCATCTCTCTGTTTCTCTTTCCTTGGCCTGAGTGATTGAATGGGCAAAATGGACAAAAGAAGGAAACAAAAATATGAAAAATATAAAAACTCTATATTTCTTTATTCTCATCTAATTTTTGTTGGCTCAAGAGATCGTGTTTGCAATCCATTAGTACGGTTTGTTCAACGAGAAAAAAAAAATTGATGAGTACAGTTGAGCTAACTTGAAATTGGCTAGTTCTCGTTATCAAGTAATCACGAGAGTTTACATGTTAATACCGATATCTTTGGATTTTTATTTGTAGTTGCCTATGATTCAAACTCATTGTTGGAATCATCACGGTACAACCCCGTCGTCATCAGCCTAAATTTTCACACCAACGTGGTAAACCCGCTTGAAAAATGCCACAGGTCTGATGCGGTCCTCATGTTTGCCCATCATCAGAGGCTCTCCATTGATCCACTGGGATTAATTTTAAGTTAAAAATGGTTGTATATTATCAAACCTGGGTGTTAAATGTTAAGCGAGTCACCTGATTCACTTATCTCATAAGAAAAATGCTGAGTTAGAATGTACTTGTACATTTCCGTTTAATATCCATGAGCCTGGGATTTTGAATTGGATTTCTCCAATCGGGGCTTTTCCATAAAACAAGGGCTTGAAGTGACGGGCCAACATGGAAGCAAAACTGCGGAAATCCTTTTTTCAATTAAAAAAGACGACGACAGGGAGGAAGGAATATGGAAGTTGGAAATGTGATGGAGAAGAGTGGACCAACAAAATAAATTAGGGCTCCAGAGCCACCAACTCCTCCGGGCGAATAAAAGCAGGGGCCCCTTAATATTCTCTAATGACTTTCACCTCTAAAATTCATGACTAAGTATTTCATGTCAGAGAGTGTGGTCATCTTATTCAGCGCTTCTAATTCTGTTACCTTCATTAAAATATCAGACCTACCTAAAATGATGCTAAGCATCTTCTTGTAAACATAGCTTGAGTTACATTCACGTTAGCAATCAGAAGTTTAGTGGCATCATGATTAAGGCACTGTGCGTTTCTAACTTTTAACTTCTGAAAAGAGCGAATTCAGATACTCGCCATGTAGAGTCCTCACTGTCAATTGGCAGTAAGCTAATGGGGAGAGTCAGAATAATTATCTTTTGGTCAGAATTGGATTAAAGTGATGTCTGGTTGCATCTGCAAAATCTCATGCCATCATTCTCTTCCAACTGTAAAATGGATATTTCCCTTTCATATGAAAATATCGGTAAATGTTTCATTCCTCGACCAAGCTAAGGAATGATAACAATTATTTTCAATTTTTCCTCTCGTTGTAAAAAGCAAACAATAATGAGTAAAGGGCAACAGACAATCCAAAGACCAAGTTGATTGTCGAGATCCATACGAAGCGGGGTCTTCCTCACGCTGCCAACAACTTCATTAAATGCACACAAAATTAGAAATAAATTAGGAATTAAAAATAAAAAATGACATCTCATCTGCTTAAGCATGTGCATATCTTGCTAGCCAGTCTTGAAAGCTAATCTCCTGCTTAGAAAATAAGTAAAATCATAAGAATACTATATATATCGCGAGTTGATGACTGAAAGGTTGTGTAAGAGACATTAAACAAGCATGCTGAGATCATAATGGGATTATGTTGCTTCTTGCAGTTTGGTGGGGGCAATTTTCTAGTAACAAGAACTTGAATTAATTGATGAAAACGACACTTACAATTAATGCTTTCTTTCACAAAGTTCCTCAAAAATCATGATAGAGACAAACTATATTATCATGTGTGCACACCAAACAACCCCCCTTGATTGTAAGTAACTAGACATTGACTTTTATGAATTGGACTGATGAACCTATCTATAGTTAGTCATAAGATAATTCTTTTTTCTTTATAAGATAAGAGATTTTGAAACAGCAGTATAAGGCATCATGAGCTGGTTAGATTAGAATTAGTTAGATAAGGCTGTTGCATTGAATTGGATATTATTTCTTGTGCTGTTTTTTTTTGCTCTTGGTTGACTCGAATCTTATCAAAAGGCCAAAAAATTCAGCCCACTCGAACAAACCAAGCCACAATATTTCGAGTAAGTTTTTATTTCCCATTGGACTCTCTTCATCGTTCTTTCACAAAGTGTTTAATATTTTTCAACTAAACAGAGCCAATCTCTGTCGCCACATCTAAGATTTAGCCTTGGTGAGCTTAAAATTTCACTGTCATCTATCAAGAGTAGCATACTGACCTGACCCAATGTATGGCAGACTTTGTACATAAAATTTAAGGTGGATTTCATAATTAAGCCCGCGAGTCTATTTGGAGGGCAAAATTCAACAAGTCTCATTTTCACAAAACATAAAGCCCGATTTAAGGCACTGAAGATGTTGGCGTTAAATCACTCTGTTCTAAGGATGTTGTGCTCCTTCTACTGTTTTTAAGGACCATGAATATGTATTTCTCAACTAATTATCTAACTTTTAAAATTATGTCCTGAGGACTTATAGACAACCACGGCATTAGGCCACAAAATTATTCAAATCAGTTTAAAGAAACTTGTGGCAGTGACAGGAAAAGTGATATTCATATTGAATAAGTACACATGAATAACTTTTGAATCGATGATAAGTGATATTTACTTTGTTTATGTTGGAAAATAATTTGAGAAATGGCAACAAGTTAAATGAGTTTCCATAACTTGGCAGTTTTTTTTTTTGGGTATTAATAAGCCATCAGAAAGAAGACATTGGTAGATGTGATAAACTGGGATAACGAAAATGAATATAGCGGGATGGCAGAGAAGAAGATGGTAAGAGTAAATGACAAGAAAGGAAAAGAGGGGCAATTACTTTCATTCCTCAAAAGGCTAGTTGGGTCAGAATTCTGCCTCCAAAAAACCAGCCGTTGCTTTCTCCACCGGTTCTCTTTGTTGGGTGGTGCAGGTAATTATGGCTTCAACAATAAGCCTTGCAACTTTATAGTTACCCTTGACATTTGACAATTATCAAATCAAGCATTAACCCCTAGAATTAAAGAGAATAAGTATTAACACCGAAAAATTAGGGAAGTGATAGAGGGAGTGCAGTGGTGTGAAACAAAAGTGCCAACTTGCAAACCAGGCGGAGACGGATCTGTTGTTGTTTCACACTAATCATGGAATTCCCCAGACACCCCTCGCCAACCTTCCTACAATAATCTCATGCATTAACTTGAAAATGTTTTATCTTAAGCCTAGGAGAAGTATTTGCAGGCACGCACAAAGAAGAAAGTGTAATAAATCAGATAAACAGATAAAGCCACAGTCATAAATGATCAAGCGAGCAATATAGGCCATCACATTAAAAGTTTTCAGTACATCTGAACATCCTATGCATAAAGTTCCCAGTATTATATATATCTATTGGCCATCAAGTCAGTCACTATCGATGCACACATTTAGTGTTGAAACCATCCCATTCATGCAACCAATAAAAATTTAAACCGCCAGCCAACAAGGCCCATGACCCCCATAAACGTCGTCCCTACCCTTAAACCCAACTCGGTATTTGTGTGAATAATCCGGAAAATTTTAATTCATTTACACCACATTCAAGCAAACTTTTTTTATGTTTTGTTTGGTCGAGTTTCCTTATTGTATTGTAATCTAACTAAAATGCGAGAAGTCATGAGTTGCAATGTTACATTATAGACCTGCAAGTACAGCGAGTGAGGAGTGGAGCTAGAGATTTTAATTATAAAGTGACAAGTGGGAGTGCAGACGACATCTCAACTAAAAATTGTAGCTAAATAATTGGAGCAGCGTGTAATAGCAGGAACAGGCTCGTCATAGAAATTTCTTTCCGTCTTTCTTTGTTTTTGTCAGCTCTTGCATATTTTTCCTTTCTTCCCTTTTTCTGTCTCATGATTAAAATGGAGGAAATTTTGCCATTTATCTTTGTTAGTTGATGGTTCCTGTGATGGGAAGTGACCCCTTTCATTTATGTCTGAAGGCGAATGACATGAAGGATTTTGGGAGGAAACAGAACACTCAGCAGGATACGAAATTATGACAAATATATTATTGAATATTATCAATTGAAACAACCATTTTTTAAGAAATCTTTAAAAAATAGTTGTGATAATATTCTGCTGAAATACCAATCTGCCCCAAGGCTTCTTGGAATGTTCTTTGGGGATGTCTCAAGAAGATTTGGTTTCGAGACATGGTATGTATTATATACTGTCCCAAAAAAAATTCTCCTGAAAGGTAACAATGCTTTTTAATTTATTATAAATCTTTTTTTTGAATAAAAACATGGACAAAACAGTGCAAGAATTACAAGAGTCAAGATGAATCAGAATCTAAGATGATCCTACATCCCATAGGAGGTTCGTTGTAGATAGAGAGGTTGTAGTTTTTGTGAGAAGTTTCTCGTGTGAGCAAGTCAGCACATTTGTTTGCCTCTTTGAAAACATGATTAAAAGTGACTCTCCAGTTTCTCATAGTGAGCTCCCTGATTTTCTTGATGGTAACCGATAAAGGATGATGATCAGAGAAGTTATGTTGAATAAGAGAGAGGGCTTCTATGGAGTCAGTGTGTAAATTAATCTTTGTAAAATTTGCATTCAAACCAAGCTGAAGGACTTCTAAAATGCCTGATAATTCAGCTGCCGTACAAAGTTGGTAGCCAAGATATTTTGAAAAGCCAATAATCCAATTTCCTTTTTTTTATCACGGATGACTCCATCGCAAGCTGTAGCGTCAAAGGAGTTAACAGAACTATCTATATTGAGTCTAACCCACCCTGCTTTAGGAGGACACCATTTAGCCTCAGATCTAAGTATGTCTTTATTGAGAATATTCACTCTTGATTGAAGCCACATATCATGTATAACTTGTTGGGTATAGGAGAAGGCAATATCTTTATCTTGATAAATATCATCAGAATAAAATCTCTTACATCTCACTTTCCATATGTCCTAACAGACAAAAGCAAACAGCTTTTGCCAGTTGGTTCTTCTTGTGCTAATATTCCCTGCCTTATTTCTTGCATTCCAAGCTATCCAATTTTGCACATTCAGAGAGAAAAAAGTATTTAGTTTGGAGGGTTTGACTAGCTTTAGCCAAACCTCCCGTGCTTCTTTACAGTCACGTAAAATATGAATTGAAAAATCAGAAGAGTTACAAACAAAGGTACAGTTTCATTGTATTTGATTACGTTCTTCATCTATTATAATATTGCTCTGTAGGCGATCCCAAGCAACTTTTCATAGGAAACATTTGATTTTTTCATAAGTAGGCCAATTCCAAATTTTGGACCAAATATTGGGATTGTTTTGATCATTTTGAGATTCCAACACTTTGTAAGCAGGTTTTATAGAGAAATTTCTGTCAGAGGAAGGTCTCCAATAAAGGACATCATCTTCATCATGAGGGTTAGGTGGTTTTAGCAGAGCAATTTGATTAATCACATCATGATAAAGATGGCAGTTAAGAAGGTTGAAATTCCATCTTCCTGCAAGCGTGCATAAATCAGAGATTTTGGCATGAAGAATAGAATCAGCACTAGGGAGGGCATATCTGACAAGAGGTTCAGGGAGAGGAGCTCATTTGTCATACTAAAAGGATATTTGATTACCCTTACCCACTTTCCATCTAACCTGAGATATGAACTTGTCCCAAATTTTGCAAATACTACTCCATGTGTAAGATGAAGAACTTGGTTTATAGACCATTGGAATAGTGATTTTGCTGCATTTGTATTTATCCCGAAGGATTTAAACCCAAAGGCATTTAAGTTGAGTGATGAGATCCCAGCATAATTTCATGACGTAGGTGATATTTTGAATCTTGAGATTTTTGAGTCCAAGACCTCTATTTCTTTTATCTTTAGTCACACAATCCTGAGAAAGAAGGTGAGGCTTTCAGGTTCTGTCAGAAGAATTCCAAAAAAAATTCCTCGAGCATTTTTCGGGTTCAACCAAAATATTATTTGAATTTATTATAAATCTTTAGAATATGATTGCGGAGGTGGTGAATGATATTTGCAACTAAGGTTTGAATTTTTTAGCATATTTTTATATCTAATTTAAAATTAATTTTTAAGGAAAAATTATTTTCTTCTGTTTAATATTATTTTTCAAGCGGCATGATTTTAGAGACATCAATGGGATTCTTGTAAATATCTTCAATTAAAGGATTTGACCAGTGGCCCCTTTAATAAACGGGAAATAGTCCTAACCGAGAAAATTGATAGATTGTCGCATACATTAGAATTTGATTCAGTACCATTTTACTCACTATCGCACTCGTTTCTGTACTCTTCTGGTTTCCCTCAGTTCTCCGTCTGCTTTCCAAGCCCAAGACGGGGTTGATCCTTCTCTACTGGAGAAGTGCATGTGCTCGACGGTATCACCCACAAGTTCAGTCGAGCTTCATTTCTGCAAGACTTGACTCGGGTGATCAGATCTGCCGGCACAAAAAAATTATACGCCACTAGTATATTCTGCGGTAAAATGTCAATTTCCGAACCCCGTACCAATCAGCGTCCCCGTCCACAGCCGCCGGAGCCCGATAACAGGGCAACACTACCGTCTTCTTGGGCCAAGAGGACCGGGTTTAAGCCCAAGTTCTCTGGCGAGACCAATGCCAGCGATTCTGGTCAGATAACCTTGCAACCCAAGCCAAGAGCTCAAGCCAACCCGGATCTTGAAGCTGGTCGGGCAAGGTCATCGCCGGTCGTGAATGGTGAGGCCGGAGGTGAGAAGGTCGAACCATCGCTGAATAAGGAACACAATGTGAAGTTCAGGGATCCTGAAGGAGCGCCCAAACTCTCGGTTCCTGGTACCAATGCGCAGGCACCTGTAATGCTGGCGGACAAGTCGTCGAAGCCGCGGAGTTCGAGAAGGCACGACCAAGCGATTGATGTCTTGCCTCAGGTTGTGGATGAGAGTGGGCTAGCGTCTAGGCAGTCGCGAATGAAATATGAGCTCCGGGATTCTCCTGGTCTTGGTAAGACGTTCTGTCTTTCATTTTCAATTGCTAGCTGAACGAATAACTTATCACGACTTGAAATTATAATGAAATCATGAGATTGTAAGATTATAAGGCTGAGAATTGGATATATACTGATTTCCCCCCCTGGTTTTGCAGTTCCCATTGGTCTGTACGGTATGCAACATTACATTTCTATGTTCGGTTCGTTGATTGTCATTCCTCTCGTCATCGTTCCTGCCATGGGAGGTGCTCAAGTGAGTGTTTGTGAATAACTTAATTTGTTCTTTTTTTTGTTGTTGTTGTAGCCAATAGTTCTGGGCATATTGTTGTCTGATGTGTTAGTGGCTATAGGAGGATACGTCTGCGGTGGTATCTACAGTGCTCTTCATGTCGGGAGTGACTACACTCTTGCATACTACTTTTGGGTCCAGGTTGCCCCTTGTTCAGGGCCCGTCTTTTGTTTATCTGGCTCCAGCTCTGGCAATAATCAACTCCCCGGAGTTTCAGGGATTGAATGGAAATGTAGGTGTTCCTTTCCAATTTGATGATGTCAAAATTATTTTAATTTTCGTGGTTCTCTCTAACCAAATTGTTTGGTCTTGAGACAATTTCTATCATAAGTTATATTGGTGCCTTTCACAGTTTCAACTGTATGCTATCAATTTTCTGATTAACTAACTGAATGCAAGATAACTAACTTCTTTCTTAAATTGTAGAAATTCAAGCATATAATGAAAGAGCTACAGGGGGCTATTATTATCGGATCAGCTTTTCAGGCTTTACTTGGCTATACTGGACTCATGTCCTTCTTGGCACGGTATGATTTTTGTAGTTTTATTGCTCATCTATTTCTTTCGATACTAGTGCCAGCTTCATGTTTTTGCCAAACGGCACTTATCATTGATCATTGTGGACTGGGGCAACACTTTGTGTTGTGCTGAAGGTTGAGAGATTCAAGCTGAGAAGTCATCATGGATCAAGGAGGAAGAGGATTGACGAGACAACAAGAAATAGGGAAAGATATGATTGCAAAGTTCTTAGTTGAGAATGCAGCCTGTAATTGATTAAATGTCGGAAAGAGTTCGTGTGGAAAAGTTCTTAAATCTTTGAATGGAGATTTATGTAGTAGTTGTTAAAAATATCTCCTGGGGATATTACTTCAATTATCTGAATAAGAAATATGTTTTTAGACTAATTTGTTAGTGTTTTGAAAGGAAATGTTTAATCCTAAGAGTTCATTTAAATTGATAATCAGCCTCATTTTATGTGAATTTTCTTTTCAGGTTGATCAATCCCATGGTTGTATGCTCAACGGTTGCTGCCGTTGGACTTTCATTTTATAGCTATGGTTTTCCTGTAGTTGGCAAATGTCTCGAGATTGGTGTAGTACAGATATTAGTCGTTATTGTTTTCTCTCTTGTAAGTGCGGAATGGACCTTTAGCTTTCATCAACATTTATAATTTCTAACTTATTAAAGCCTATCATATGTGAGGCCTTTCCATTGCACTGTTATAAAAAACTTAAAAAATTTGTTCTCTCTATTTCTGCAGCATCTCCGCAAGATATCTGTTCTTGGTCACCGTGTATTTCTAATATTTGCAGTAAGTTTAATGTTATTGCTCTAAATTTGTGAGTTGCTCTTCAGTAGTTGATTTGTCTTCTTTGATGTTGAAAATAATTCTCATTAGTTTGACATTTTTACATCGCCTTACTGCCAGGTTCCTTTGGGTCTGGCAATCACATGGGCGACTGCTTTCTTGTTGACTGAAGCAGGAGCTTATAGCTACGAAGGTTGTGATATAAACATACCTGCCTCTAATATGGTATCATACCACTGCAGAAAGCACGTCTTGAGGATGAAGCATTGTCGAGTTGATACTTCTCATGCGTTGAAATCTTCCCCATGGTTTAGATTTCCTTATCCACTGCAATGGGGCACTCCTGTCTTCCACTGGAAAATGGCTGCTGTAATGTGTGTGGTATCCCTTGTCTCATCAGTTGATTCGGTTTGTTCATTGTCTTTTCCTTTTTTGTTTCCTGTATTTCTATTTTATTCTTCCTTGCTCGTGTCACAGTAAGGGATTAGTCAAAGATGCCAAAGATAATTGCTTTTGAACCCTGAGAAAATAGCAATATACTATACCAAATTGCAGTCATGGTTTCTTTGCTGAGGTTATCCCCATGTACTGTATTGTTGAAGCAATCTTTTCTGTTTTTCGTTCTCCTTTGCTTTGAAATCTTCAGGTAGGCTCGTACCATGCATCTTCATTACTGGTAGCATCCAGACCTCCAACTCCTGGAGTTCTTAGTCGAGGAATTGGTTTGGAGGGACTTTCTAGTTTATTGGCTGGCCTCTGGGGAACTGGAACTGGATTTACCACACTAACAGAAAATGTTCACACAATTGCCGTGACTAAAATGGGAAGCCGCAGGGCAGTTGAATTGGGTGCTTGCTTTCTGATAGTGTTGTCCCTTGTTGGTAAGTGTCTGTCTTGTTTCAGTCATTGCAATCCTTGTATTTGTCCTGTAAATTTTTTTCACCTTTGATATTCTCAATAATATTAAAATTTCTTTGACTGATCTATGGAACTCAGTCCAATTGTTTTGTGGAAGATGGTTCTGCTCTTACAAAATTGAGCAAAGCTTATGGTTATATTTTGCAAGAATGATCTTGAGAAATGGGTCCCTCTCAAGGATGAGGGGAGTCCAGATTCACAATTCCGAAGTCAATCAGTATCAGTGTCTGAACATATTGACGCTATATAACAGGCAAGGTCGGGGGGTTCATTGCTTCAATTCCTGAAGTGATAGTTGCTGCTCTCCTGTGCTTTATGTGCGCAATGCTCACTGCTCTGGGCTTGTCAAATCTACGTTATAGTGAGGCTGGAAGCTCTCGCAATGTTATCATTATTGGGTTATCATTGTTTCTCTCTCTTTCCGTAGCTGCCTACTTTGAACACTATGGCATAGCCCCAAATTCCAACTTGTCCGTGCCAAGTTATTTTCAACCCTACATTGTAGCTTCCCACGGGCCTTTTCAGAGCAGATATGCGGGGGTATGTCTTTTGAGTTCTTCTGTAATGTCCTTTTTCTATAGCGAATTCTTTTCCTTTGATTCTGATGATGTTATATAGGATATATTGATCTTTCATTTAAAGGGGGGAAAAAAAGAGAGAGAGAAAATTTATCTTGCAGAAGGCAGCAGAAACTATCTTCTTATTTAATGGGTGATATGAGAACCTTCTTTTCCAAAGGTTAATTTCCTTGTAAAAGGTAAATGACGTGAATATGGACATGGTGAAACAGTGAACTAGCGAATGAATGTGAATGAGTTGGCTTTGTTCTTATGATCTTCGTTTTATTTGAACACCTGAATTGAATGATGTTTGATTAAAAGCGATTGCACTCACAGTTCATCAGAAAATGTGACTGGAGTTAATATGTTGTGGTGGCAGTTGAACTATGTGGGGAACACGCTTTTATCGCAACACATGGTGACAGCGTTTGTGGTGGCTGTTATTCTGGATAATACAGTACCTGGGAGCATGCAAGAACGTGGGGTGTACGATTGGACTGAAGCCGAGGCTGCTAGAAGTGAGCCTTCTGTCTCTAAAGACTATGGATTGCCCTTCCGAGTTGGTAAGGTTTTTAGGTGGGTGAAATGGGTTGGGCTCTGAAACGCCATATTTGTTGGCCCATCAAAATCACGTCCTCTTTGAGGGACACCCATTCTTATGACATGAATCATCATCTTCATGAGCTCAATGACAGACAGCATTCTGGAAATTTCTGGTGCGGGATGAGATGTCTTAGTAAAGTGGGTTTTGTGGTGAGATTGAAGAGGGATCTGATTCCAGCTGTCATTCGCTAGATTAGCCACGTGTCGAATTTTCATCCTTCAAAATGTCCAGGATGATTTTTTTTGCTTGCTTTGTGGCGGGCTTCCATTAATCATCCTTGTTACGTGTATATATTATATATTATATTTTCAAGGTCAACTCTTTCGGGGTTTGATGCAATTTCATCATCTTAGGTTTAACTTTCTATCAGTTGCAAGACGAATTTCATTGTAAATTACATTCGGTACATTTTGGTATGTTTTGTGAAAGTTATTGAATTATCACGAAAATATCGTGTCATGATTGCGAAGGTTCGCAAACTGGTGATTTGTTTTCTCGAGCTTTCGTATATTGTTAAGAACTTGATTTAGTAATGATCACGTGCTTGGAAATGTGGGTCTAAACTAAATTACAGCGTGAACCGCCCTGCAGCAGATATTTAAATAAAGATCCAACGGTTAATTATCTCGGGGATTCCGGATTCCCTGCCGATTGCCTATCTCAAGGCGCTCATCTCTATTTTTCTGCTTGGTGGGGTATTATCCTCCAATGTCCAAATAACTTTTCCCATCTTGGGCTTGTTGACAAAATGAGAGACATTGTGATATTTTGCAGCTCTGAACAGATATTTTGTTTTATTATTTTTAAAAGCAAAAAAAAAAAAAAACAGGACTGCACCAAAAAAAAAAATTTAGGGATAATATAATTTTTGTTCCCAAATTTTTTTCAATCATCAATTTAGTTACTAAATTTTAACTTAATAGAAAAACTCTATTAGGTCAATGAATTATAAGAATTGAGTTGTATTGAGTTAGAAAAACTATTACAACAACAATGTAATTAGTTGACTTTGTAATTTATTCTAGTTTATTAGATAAATAACTGTAAATACAAGTTTTGAGTTTGTGGTAACTTCAGCATAGAATGCCCGAATAAGATTAAGAAAATATCAATATTAATTGCTTTTTTAAATGATGCTGATAACTGATAAGAATGTTCGTGATACTTCCCCACCGTCCAAAGAACATTTTTGGCAAAGAAGGTTAGGGGACAATTATTGTATTTATGGCTACTCACAAATGCTCTACGTGGTTGCTAATGTGCTTTGTGATTCCGGTGGAGCATCTTGTATGCGTTTTTCCTCACAATTAATTACACGCCCGCTCGCTTGAATTTCCTGCAAAACTATCCACTAAACTCGTTACCTTGTTGAAACAATCTTAAATTGAGAATGTTCCTTTTTTATATATCACTAATTAACTCTATCAATTTAAAACTACAAATATCCTTTCTATATACATATTGAAAATTTTAATAAGAACGTTTTTGAAAAAATAAACATTCAAAAAATTTAGACAAAGTAATTTATACTTAGGACCATACATTTTTTGGAGAACATTATCTATGTTTAAGAATGAAGGAAGTATATATAAAATTAGTTATTATATATCCTTGCAGTCTTGCACGACGTATTTTTCCGCTATAAGGCGACATTCAATAATTATAAAGCATCACCAGCTAAAGTTTTCTCCTTTGAAATTGCATTGAGCTTTTGTGTATTGTGCAAACTGAGATTAAATATGGGTGTTGTACATTGCATAAAATTTGATATAAGTTAGATTGCGAATGATTTGTAAATTAATAAAACTTCTTATTCGCAGTTACACATTTTGATTTGACGTGCCATGCTATGTCTGTCAAAGATGATTGTTCAAAAACTAGCACGTGGGATTTGCTGCCTTATCATGGACAAAAAGACTACACAAAATGCGATAAAGGGCGCATTCTTTTCTCTTTTCCTTGTCTGAGTGCAAAAATTATTCCCTCCATTCAAAACAATTTTTTTTTTTAGAAAATTGGGTATTCAGAAATAATATAAACTAACATTTAGTTTGATAAATTTAAATTTAAAATCTTACATTTTAAATTCTACATTTAAAATTTTTTGTTTAGATGATTTAAAAAACTTCAAATGAAGAAATAAGATTAATTGAAATTCAAAATTAAAAAAAATTAAAAATGATGAACTTATTTTTTTTAACCTGCAATAAATGAGAAAATATAGGATAGTTATGAAGGTATTAAGAGTAAAAACATGAACAGAAAAAGATGTTTTAAGTGATTAAAATTTTAAATAATTAAAACATAAAAGTAATTTGAAATTGCAAATGGGTTATAACTTAAAATGGATTTGAATTTAAATTAAATTCAAATTTAAAAAATTTTATACATTTAATTGAGTGATTTGATTCAAATCTAAATTTTGAATCATGAGGTTTCTTTTTTTAGATTTTCAATGTATAATTAATGAGTTTTTTAAAAGAAAATACTTTTAATTAATAAATCATTCAACCCTTCATTTTTAAATAAAATATCTTATTAAATAAGGACAGGTATAGAAAAATGTTATTAGTTTAATTATTTTATTTGAGATTGAAATTGGGTAGAAAATACATCATATTTTTCAATATGGAGGGAGTATGTATGATGATTAGGATCCGTTCATTCAAAATATCTAATAAGAATAAAAGGCAGGAAAGACAACACGAAGGAAGGAGAGCAGCTCATCTAAACTCGTTGCATGTGATGTAGCCAACAAGCCATGGAGGTGGTCCAGTAGTCCGAGGTCGGCGTTGTTCTCATCTCACTCCACTCACATGCTCGCACTTTGTTCAAACAATTCTCCACAATATTCTACTCAAACTCCTTCATGTTAATTGTTGGAGGGAGAATTACAGTGAAGGACTCATTTCAAAAATTAATTTTAAGCACGATGAGCTTGGCTTCATGCACTGGGAATGTACGGCGGGGTTATTCGGGGTCCGCGCCACGAGTCAGCACTGACTCTAGACACGTGTGTATATAACCATGAATTTTACGGGAGACATGAAGGTGAAGGATGCTTGCTTGCAACTTGGCTTCTCCAGCTGGCAGGATACGTGTCCAAACTTAACGCATCATCTTTCAAGAAAATTTACTAGGAAGTAGAAGCAAGAGAGACGGAGCAGCCAAATTTGGGAAAGGCGTAAATATTATTATTATTTTTTAATTAAAGAAATAGATATTGCAGTAAAGCAGAGTAGGGCCCAAGTCTCCTCAGAAATTCAGGTTACTTGGGATGGGTTTCGCGTGACATTATTATTTAAAAAAAAAAGAAAGAAAGAAAGAAAAGAAAAAACAGGGGGGGCGGGGTAGGTGTGAGATTGACCAAACCGCAAGGGGCGTGAAGTGTGAAGGCACTGGAGGCTTTGGGATGCCAAGTCCTCCTCTGCGGGGCTTCGCCTCTCACGTTCTCTGCCATTTATATATAAAGCCCTCGCAGCTTCTTCCTCTTCTCTCAGCTTGACGTTCCCTTGTTTCAGGAGAACACCAAGCTTAGCTCCCCTCACTTCCTTTCTTTCTTTTTCCTCTCAACTTCCGATATGCACTCTCTCTCGCCCGCCTCTTCCCATTCTCTTCAGTTTCTGATCCCCTCTCTCCCCTCCGCCACCCGGCCCCTTCCCTCCCCACTCGTTGTCAAATGCAGCTACGGCTTCGAATCTCCTGGCTTCTCCCACGGAGCCGGCTCCAACCGCGCTGACTGGCAGAGCTCCTGCGCTATTTTGGCCAGCAAGGTTGTCTCTCAGCAACATTCCTCCCCTGACAATAACGGTGCCCCCGCCGTCAACGGCCACTCGTCCGCCCTCACGGATCTCAGCCTGGTCCCCATCGATAGCATTCCCGGTTCCGACAATAACAAGCCTCTCCCGCCCAAGCCTCTCACGATTTCGGACCTCTCGCCTGCCCCGATGCACGGCTCGCAGCTTCGCGTCGCTTATCAGGGCGTTCCCGGGGCCTACTCCGAAGCTGCCGCGGGCAAGGCCTATCCCAACTGCGAGGCCATTCCCTGCGATCAATTTGAGGTGGCTTTCCAGGCTGTCGAGCTCTGGATCGCCGATCGAGCAGTTCTGCCCGTGGAGAACTCTCTGGGCGGTTCAATCCATAGGAATTACGACCTCCTCCTCCGTCATCGTCTTCACATCGTCGGCGAGGTCCAGCTTCCAGTCCACCACTGCCTCCTCGCTCTCCCCGGTGTCCGGAAAGAGTACCTGACCCGCGTGATTTCACATCCCCAAGCCCTGGCTCAGTGCGAGCATACATTAACCAAACTCGGCCTCAACGTGGCACGCGAAGCCGTGGACGACACCGCCGGTGCCGCGGAATTCATCGCCACCAACAATCTCCGCGACACGGCGGCAATCGCGAGCGCACGTGCTGCGGAGCTGTACGGATTGCAAGTGTTGGCGGACGGGATCCAGGATGATCCCGGGAACGTAACCCGATTCGTTATGCTGGCACGAGAACCGATAATTCCCCGTACGGACAGGCCGTTCAAGACGAGCATAGTGTTCGCGCACGACAAAGGCACGTCAGTATTGTTCAAGGTGTTATCGGCGTTCGCATTTAGGAACATTAGCCTGACGAAGATCGAGTCCAGGCCTCATCGGAACCGTCCGATCAGGCTAGTAGATGACGCCAATGTGGGCACTGCGAAGCACTTCGAGTACCTGTTCTACGTGGATTTTGAAGCTTCCATGGCTGAGGTCAGGGCCCAAAATGCCTTGGCAGAGGTGCAGGAGTTTACTTCTTTCCTGAGGGTACTGGGCAGCTATCCCATGGACATGACTCCATTGAGTCCCTCCTGCTGCCGGCAAGATTTGCAAAGCCTCTGATAGATCCCGCTTGGGGGTGTAAAAGACGGAAAAAAATAATAATAATAATAAGGAGCAATAAAGATCACTTCTATTTACCTGTACTGTATACGTATTTAGAATGATGGTGGTGTTAATAGTTTTTAATTCTATTATGATGACGATGATGGTTAAATTTTGAGGGGAGGAGTTAATTTGGTTTTGTGGAATGGGACGGCAGGAATGCACCGCCGGTGGGGTTGGTGGCAAGGGGATTACATTGTACAGAGACGTTGGGATGGTTTGTGATGTGATTCTGAAGTTTTGGTGAGCAACGAATTGGTAGCTAGCTACCCCAATGCTGTGGTTATTTAGTGTGCATACTTGAATATATTGAATGCCCTCCTAGTTGGTTGTGTGATGAGTATTTGACGTATGCAACATGGGGATGACTGTATATGTTGAGCTGTTGAGGGCACTAACAGACTAGGTTTTCTATTCCTTTATTATTATTATTATTATTATTTTTGTTTTTATTTTTGGGCTAAATGTAGGTTTTCATGTTAATATCATGTCCTTGGAATGTCCAAGTGTGCTAGGGCCAATATGAAAAGTCTTACTCCTATATTTGAATTTAATAATTACCCTCTCTAATATGTAGAACATTTTCAATAGTTTTATGCATTTTTAAAAAAATTATTTTTTTATATTATAAAAATTGAGATGTGCTTTCATTTTTTATTTTTTATTTTAAATAATGATACAATTATATTAAATATCTTTACCTTAATTAAGAAATGATAACATTGAAAAAATGATTTAATTATTATAATTTATCTTACATTTTAAACTAAAAAATATTTTTAGAAGATGTCTTATAAATAAAATTAAAAAATAATAATATATAATAAAAGAGAATAATTTATAAATTTAAACTTTGAAGTTTTGAAATAATGTAAGATTTGATATCTTTCCGTATTCATAATTTAATAGTAATTTTTCACGTGGCTACGTAAATATTTAATAGAATAAGATCTGGATCTGGTATGTAGCTTGGTCCGAACATCCACCCAATTTCCTCATTGGTTCCAACACTGCTGTCTACTAGTTTTGGCAATTCTTGAAAGCGTCGCTGCGCCGATATGGGAAGGAGACACCTTTTTTTTTTTTTTTTTTTGGTCCTTCTGGTGAAAGCTACGCTTAAAATAATTAGGAGCTGCAGAATTGGGTGTATGTATAATTTTTGGAGATGGAACTGTTGTAGTTACAGACTTACAGCGATTGGGGCCGTGCAGGCATCTCAACTTGTTCTCCCGAAAGAAAAGAAGAAAAAGGGAGGGAGACTGACAGCTTCATTGATGAATTATTTTTTATTTGAATTATGTAGTTCACAGAGAAGGATTTTTGAGTGATGGTAGTACCGGAATGAATGCATGTGGTAGACTTTTGCTTCAAAATATAAGACCCTGATTGGTACAAAACAATGGAATGGTGGGATTAAGATTGAAATTGTGACTGAATGATTTAACTTTTTTATGTTTGGTATGAAGTAATGTATAATTCAATGCTAGTACCAATTTCACCTTTTATGGAATTATCCAATACCATCTCTTCCATGACATTGCAAAATCAATTGTGAGATTGATTTTTGCAAGACAAAAATGTCCTCTAACCTCACTAGTTATTTATCGATCATTCCCTTCTTGTTCGATTTACTGTGCCATTTTCTTTGCCATTCGTACTGTGCCTCTGTCTTCATCCCATCAGATTTAGATCTAGATCATGCCTTTGCCCCTTCAGATCCAAATCTAGATCACGTCTCTGGCCTTGCTTAAGCATATATCCAGATCATATCTGCATCTCTTCAAATCCAAATCCAAATCCCAGATCGAGTCTCTAGTCTTGCTCGTGCACATATCTAGATAGCATGGCAGAAGGGGAAGCAAAGATAGAGTCACCCTCTACAAAGACAAGGAATGAGGGAGTTCAAGTATGATGTTACAAATGCTTGAATCTATTCATCGCATGTGGCGTTAACATCTTTGTGGATTGTAAATGCTCAAATTTGTTCATCGCATACGGTGTTAGCATCTTTATGGAGACAGAGACGAAGGGAGTTCGAGCTACCCTGCTCACACTCAAATTCGTGTTTCATGCACATATCCAGATCGCATATGGGTAGAGTGGAAGGAAGAAGAAAAGGATATTTGTGTCTTTTTAGCAATTTTTTTGTTTAATCCCAATTTTATTTTTTTTAATTTCACGACATACCAAATATCATTTTAAAATTTATTTTCATTTTCAATCTCACATTTAATTTCAATCCCAATCTCAATCTCATTCCATTCTCTTAAAATGTAATATTTTGTTTTAAACAGGGTCTAAAGGTAATGGACAAAGAGCAAGTCCATGGTGAAATACCGATAAGGTCAAAACTCAAAACTCAAACTAACTGCCTTCTTGCGGCCCCCACCCGTCCCATTTTTTTCAACTTAGAACGAAAGAATATTTAACAAAAAAGAGTTACATGGAATTAATAAAATGCCTATTAATCATGGTTTGAAAGAATAAGCTAATAGCTGCTTGTCGATTTGGATACCTATGAAGAAGAGTGAAAAAGAAGGAACAAGTGGAGAGGAGGGTTTGGTGAGAAAGGAGGTGATGATGACCACAAACGTGGAAGGATTGGTGAGAGCGTGCCTTCCTCCTATTATTGTAGAAGTAGGTATGCTGCTCCTTTGTGGTCCGCTTTCCTCCTTCCCTCCCTCTTCTTTTTCTCCTTTTTTTTTTTTTTAATTTTCCTTAACTCTGTTGCGCTTACATTCTATAATTTTGCAACGCTATGGTTTTGTTTGCTATAACAACTCTCGTAATTTTGTTCAAATATTGTAAACAGAACCTGGCCGACTGCCGTTTCATCAAAATCCTGTGCTTCTAAATAACCCCCTCCTCCACCTATTTGTAATCTTCCCATTCCAATTTCTAAACCTCCCATCACCTTGCAAGAATTTCATTCAAGGATCACGGGCGGGACATTATTGAAAATGAGATCCAAATAAATATGAAATTTTACTGTAGGAATTTAAACCTAAACTGAAACCAAGAGGTAAGGCAAAACGTCTCAATTAACCTTTTTAACATATAAAATAAATATTTTAACAAGGAACCATAAGGAATTAACAAGCACCCTTACACCCTTAACAAGTATGACAACTGAATTAATTAGTTATCAAGTAATGTCAAAGAATTAAATGGACAGTAAAAATTTTAACAAATAAATATAAAAAATTAATATGGAAAACATTATTTCAATCATTTTACCTTACATTTTAATTTTAGTTTAAATCTAAATTCTTGCAGTGAAATTTTAGATTTATTTGTAATAACGTCACTTCTTTATTTTTTTTAAATGAAATTCTGGCTTATGTGTCCCCAACGCCAATGACAAATCAATCACTCTTTTTAATTAAAAAAAAATAATCAAAAAGAGGGATTTGCCGACTTCGATGGTATTCCTGCGGACTACCGAATTTCGTGGAATGTATTCAAGATAAATATCATATTTCGAATTGACTCCTGTAAGTACGAGCTTACGGATCCTAAGACTAGAGAGTATATTTTATTTCATAATTTATTTCTTTGTGCATTAATGTTTGAAAACTAAAATCTGATATGAAAATTATAAAAAGTACTGTACGTACATAAAAAATTTAAATGATACCAGACAATTTTATTTTATAATTTTTGACTCCGTATCATATTTTATTTGAAATTTTATTACCCTGAACATATGAGGAATTTAAAAAAACATATTTTAAATAAGGTTTTTTTTTTTCATATACATCTTAAAAGTGTAAGTAATTTATTTTTTAATATTTCACCCTGTTATTTTAAATCTATTCTTTTTTTTTCGGCCAATATTTTAAACCTAGTCAAGATAAGAGCATGCACAAAATTATTTGACAATTTGCTACCTTGTATATATTAAACATCTAAACTGTATGTTTTATTTAAAAAATTATAGTCATTTAAATATTCAATATGCTTGTTTTCAATCTACTTGATACATGTAATTTTTTTTAATACATTACTTGCCATATAAGGAAAGTTAATATAGAGTTCTTTACAGTTTTTTTCTTAATTTTAGATTAAATATTTACAGTTTATTTTGTTTTAATTAAATCTTGCGATTTAATCTAGTAAATTTTCCAATTCCTGATAGTTAAAGTTGTTAAAAATAAATTTGTTCAAAACAAAAAAAATTTTAAAATTTATAAAAAAATGATTTAATACTTAAAAAAAAGAAAAATTGATTTAATACAGTGCTTATGTTTTTTTATTAAGTTTTCTTAAATTCCATGTATATAAAAATTATTTAGAAGACAAGACTAGAATGAAAGAAAAATTGATTTAATACAGTGTTTATATTTTTTATTAATTTTTTTAAATTCCATGTATATAAAAATTATGTAGAAGACAAGAATTGAATTTATATAATTAATTCTAAAGTTATATAATCATTTCATTAAACATATAAAAATGCATTAATTTCATTTATTAAGGAAAAAATTAGGAATTCTAACCAGAATGATAGATATAATACATCAAACTATAAAATCATAATAAAATCAAACTTAAAAAAAAAAAAAAGGACATGGACCATGGTGTGATGGCCATGGATCAACTTAATCCAACGGTCAATATTTTTAACCAATGAATACAACTTTCAAGTTTTAACTCACTCTCCCCTCATGCGCGTCTGATTTTATCACTCTTGTTCTCATTTGGCTCTGGCGCTTCTCCCTTTCTCAACTCTCTCACACTTGCTCACTAACTCACCATAATCCACAGCCCTCCCAACCTCACCCTCTCTGACTTTCCCTTCGTTGCCTTCTTTCCCCTCTCAAAACTTCCCCCTTTCTATGTCTCTTTCACTCTGATTCCGTCTTCGTTTCCTTGCGGATGAATCTTTGTTGCGTCACCTTAGATCTACCCCGTTAAACATCCATTGTTGCCTCCAATCTGCTCATCGGACTATCCCATTGCATCACATATTCTCTTTCCTTCCCATCATATTTTGTTAAGACGGCAGATCAAGATTCTGCCTTCTTCTTCTTTTTAATTTTCTTTTCATCTTCTCATTTATTTCTTTTCTTTATCCATTCATTGCTGTTTTGTACATTTATGAGAATATTTTTTGTTCCTATTGGTTTCTGATTTTATTTATAAGTTTTCCATTTTTATTTTGATTTTATTTTTGCTTGTTTAATATTAGTTTTTTTTTTTTTGAGTCCTGATTCGATTCCGGTAGCTATATTTCATCATTTATGCAATTTTTTTTTTAAATACGATTCAAATTTGATCTTGGTAGCTTTTTTTTATTTTTTTATTCTTGGATTGTTTTTCTTAGTTTTTCCTTTCAGTTCTTGGCAAACTGGCAAAGGGACTTGAATTCTATATTAGTTCTGATTTTATTTTCTGATTCAAGGGCAATAGGGGAAATACGCTATCTAGGAAACTGTAGATTTACAATGACAGAACGACGCACTTTGCAAGACAAGAAGACGACTACGTAACTTTAAAAAAATAAAAATAAAAAAAATGAATTTTATATTTATCACGCTT